AGGGTCAAATGGAAGTATTTGATTTTTTTTTCAAAATTATATCATTTACAGATGCTATCTAATAATTGTCCTTCCTTTTTGTCGTATCAAGAAAAAGGGGGCTTCGGATGGATTGGATGCAAGTTTAGTACCACCTTGATACAAGTACATGAAACAATCAAACGGATAAAGAGGAAATTATCCGTTTAATTTTGTTTTCAGTTTTCCTAACACTTGAATTTCTCAATGTATGCTTGGTAAATTTCTCAATTTGTCCACAGAATCATGTTGAAAAAGTAATCATTAAATGGGGAAAATGAGGAGCAGTCCTACCACAGCCATTCGACAGTCACGCGCGTCGTGATCCCCCCTCCCCCCCCCCCCAAATGAATAAAGAAAAAAAAGGAGAAACTAGAAATGTGTTTGTGGACAAACACAAGCTGTTTCGACTGTTACATTATGTGACAAGGACATGAGATTATGACGACTATTAGTGCATGCAAAGTTTAAACCGAATCGGACGAATAGTTGCGGAGATAAAGGGCTTTAAAAGATGCAAGGTTAGGGCACCCTCACATGACGACCACAGAAGTGATACTGTCGCCACTGATATTTTCACATTAACACTTCCCAATATGAGGGCATTCAAAGTTTTAACGCAATGGGACCCATGCATACAAAGATATAGGGCTGCAAATGATGCTATGTTAGGGCGCCCTCACATGACGACCGAAGACGTCACCTTGACTTAACCTATATTCTGGTGTATAACGTATTCAAGTTTGTGTGAATGCAAAGCTTCAACCAAATCGGATTCATACTCGTGGGGATATGGAAATTATACAAAGTGAGGGCGCCCTCACATGACAGCTAATGACGTCGCGATGACGTCACCTATATTGCCACACGAAACACACCCCAATGTGAGGGCATGCAAAGTTTCAACGCAATCGGACCCATACTTGCAAAGTTACAGGGCTGCAACAAATGCAAAGTTAGGGCGCCCTCACATGACACCTGATGACGTCAACATTACGAAAACCTTATAGGACCATCTGCGGTTGGTGATATGCGTGTCTGCCAAGTTTGAAGTCAATCAGATCTATGAAAGTGCCAAAATGTACTGATTGAAGGAAAACGTGTACAAAACCTATGGAGTAAAAATGCACCTTTAATGTTACGTAACCTGACACTTGATGACGTCATGATGGCGAATTTCTTCTAGGATCATCTGTGGGTGATGCTCTAAGTGTGTACCAAGTGTAACGTCGATCTGATTTACCTAAGTGCCAAAGTGGACTGGTAGAAGGAAAATGTGTACAAAACATATGGGGGAATGACTGAAAGAGGAGAAAAAAAAAAGGAAAACTAGAAATGTGTTTGTGGACAAACACAAGCTGTTTCGGATATTTGAAATACTCTGTGCACGTGATGAACACTTGATGAAGTCACTTCGAATGTAATCTGCCAAGTGAAAAGTCAATCAGACATATAGTGCTAAAGTATGATTTGAAGAAAAACGTGTACAAACCCTATGGGGGAAAATGCATCTTTAATGTGAAGTAACCTTACACCTGATGATGTCACGATCACAAATTTCTTCTAGGACCATCTGTAGGTGGTAGTCTAAGTGTGTACCAAGTCTAACGTCGATCAGATTTACGAAAGTGCCAAAGTAGAATGTTTTAAAACGTGTACAAACCCTATGGGGAAAAATGCATCTTTAATGTGACGTAACCCAACACCTGATGACGTCACGATCACAAATTTCTTCTAGGACCATCTGTGGGTGGTAGTTTAAGTGTGTACCAAGTCTGACGTCGATCGGATTTACAAAAGTGCCAAAGTGGAGTGTTTTATAACGTGAACAAACCCTATGGGGAAAATGCATCTTTAATGTGACGTAACCCAACACCAAATGACGTCACGATCACAAATTTCTTCTAGAACCATCTGTGGGTGGTGGTCTAAGTATGTATCAAGTCTGAGGTCGATTGGATTTACGAAGAGGCCAAAGTGGAGTGTTTTAAAACGTGTACAAAACATATGGGGAAAAATGCATCTTTAATGTGACGTAACCCGACACCTGATGACGTCACGGTCACAAATTTCTTCTAGGACCATCTGTGGGTAGTGGTCTAAGTATGTATCAAGTATGAAATCAATCGGATTTGAAAAAGTGGCAAAGTGGACTGGTAGAAGAAACGTGTGTTAAACCTATGGAGAAAAAGTCTGAAAAAGGAGAAAAAAAAAAAAGAAAAAAAAAGAAAAAAAAAAATCTTAACGAAAACAAGAGCTGTTTCGGTGTGTCACCGAAACAGCTAAAAAAAAATCTTAACGAAAACAAGAGCTGTTTCGGTGTGTACACCGAAACAGCTAAAAACGGCTTGAAGTCATTTTGCTGTTAATTTAATGGGTTGGGTGGGGGTGGGGGAGACAAATGTCCCTGTCAACCCTCGAAAAATGATAAATCGTGAATATACAAGAAAATACAGGTTTTTTTTGGGGGGGGGAATGTGCTTTGCCCCCCCCCAAGAAAAATTCCTGGCAATGCCCATGATATACATTTCTCTCGTTTGCCAACATTGGGCGCCATTTTGTACGAGTTGCCAAAAGAAAATGCATATTAACAGCCTCATTACGTAAGAAAGAGAAATCTTTGTTTAATATCTTAGTTTGTTGGATATCTTTTATTTTCGATAATCCAATCTGTATGGAAATTTTAATACTATTCTTTACTTATTTGCCAAGTTGACCTTGGAAGTTGGCAGAGAAAGATCTATAGTTTATGCAACTGGTATATCATTTGCCCAAAGTGCACAATATATATTTTCTTAAATTTGCATTTTGCAAAGCAAAAACACGGGCAGCTTCGTGCTGATTTTCGTTCACTAATTTTCTTTTTGAGAAGCATCTAGTGTATGATACAGTGTACGATATTGGGAATTTAGTTTAAAAAAATTCCCCACCTCCTCCCCCAAAACCCCCATCCCATCCATCACAGATTTTAAATAGCGATATTAAACTTGTACCTGCAATGCCCATATATACATATACGTAAACTACAGGTAAGCATCTATGTACAATAATAAATATATCACTTTAAGTTTACTGTAGAAAAAGTGTTTTAACCCCAAAACCACATGAGTATAAAAACCCATCACCTCTTAACTATTGTCAAAATGTTGACACAAATAATAAACAGTTACATTTGCCAACATGTCTAAAATGGAAAAAAAATAATATACATTTTCCTGTAATATCATTTGCAATATTTGGTAAATTAGGGTGTGAACAACGAATAAGTAATTGCGATATCCCTTGAAAGACAAAGCCTAATACCAGCTGAACATTGAAATGTGTCCATATTTTATGCTCATAGTGTCGTTTGAAATGTGTCTGTTTTAAATGCATGCACAGGAATATGGTCTAAATATCTTGATCTTCATTCACAAGAAACAGAACAAACAGACCAGAGGGACCATTCAGCATTTACTTTTACTGTAGTTTTCAGTAATGGAAAGATGTGGGGACGGTTAGTATTTTATAGCAAATATTGTTACACTGACCCGTTTATAGGTTTGTGTTCATATATATAGATGCCGAAAAGCAAACCAGAAAAAAAACTATTCTTGTAGTCTGACTGGACGCTTCAGATGAAACAAAACAATTGTGAAGTCATAAATTTGGTTACCATGTTTTTCTAATACAACAACTGATTGGAGAATTTTTTTCAATTGTGGTTTTTGTGGTGTCATTTGAGAGGAAGGCTATGGTTGCCAATCAACGCAGCTGGAAAACAAAGAGATTTCACCATGAAAAGTGGTGCAATGCTCTAAATAGACCCTTTCATAAGATTGGTCACTGCTCAGTCAACCGTTAATGTAAGGACATGACCAGGGGTCATTTTAAAGAGGAGATTCAACCCTAACAGAGAATATCTCCCTTTGATTCACACGTGTCCTACTTCTGTTCCAATTAGCAATAATATCTTGGTTTCCGTTTTTTTATCCACCCTGTAAGCACCCGCTGAATGGTCAGAATCTCAAGATGCAGACGCAGTTGTGCTTTTGCATAATTAATCGCCGAATCTGCACAAATATCATAGACGCTTGTGTTCAAGCGGCTATTCGACTATTCGACTAAAATACCAAATTGGGTATGAAGATAGGATTGATTAATTAAACTCGTCAAATTATTTCGGCTGACAAGCTTCCATTTAGAAGAAGGAAAGTTCTGGAACTCATCGGCTTTTCGATGATAAATCAAGTCGAAAAAGAAAAAAGTTTTCTTCGTCTTTCAATCAATTCTTCAAGGTTAGTAAAACCTTTTTGTTCGTTGTATTTTAATAAATTATTGCAATATATCCCAGTATCGGCATGCCCTCAATACAAATCTGGAAGAAGTATAATTATACATTGACATTATGTGCAAAAATATACAAAACAAATCTGCCTTTTACCACCAAAATTACCAAATTTAAAGTCCTTCTACTGTTAGATTTTACTGTACAAGTACTGAAGACCTACATGTATTGTGCAATGCAGTGTACGTCCGGTTAACTCAAATATTTTTTGGGATGAATTTGCTTGTTCCACTTTCAAACTTATTAGAATGCACCTTGGCAGTTTCGCTTTGTGGTTTATTTGAAACTATGTAATAAAAAAATGCTGTATTCTGTCTGAGAGATCCCCGTTTGCTATTTTGCAGGTTCGCAGCATTGCTAATGTTGCTAGCATCGCGAACTTTGAGTGTGATCCCTGGCTACATGGCATATCTACAGGTTTATGGCTTCTGACTAGCGCCCCTTGAACAAAGACATGGACAAAATAGGAAGCCGCCAACATAGGGCAGGATAGCTCAGTTGGTAGAATGGTGGAACAGCAATCCGAAGGTCGCAAGCTCAAATCCTGTCCCAGTCAATTTCTTAGTCCAACTTTTTAAAGAACAGTTTGAAGTTAACCGCTACCATTTGATGGCACGGACAAGCACTGTACAGGTTTTTTAGTTCTTTTTTTTACGAGTCTTTTTTCTTGGTTAGTCATACATGCTGAACCTTTTCCGCAACTTCACTCATTTTCGTGCGGCGCCTTGGACAGCAACGCCTCCGTAATGCCACCAGCTACAACAAATAAAAAGAAAAAAACTTTTGAAAACACGAAAACTTAAAAAAAAAAAAACATTTGTCCCATCCCAATGAAACTTCAAAAGAAAGAGGCATCTGGTCATACCATGTAAAACTTCACAAAACATTGAGACAAACCTCCAGGTAAACCTTTAGATAAACCTTGAAGGTAAACCTTGAGATAAACCTGGAGAAAAACCTCGAGGGTAGCCTCGAGGGTAAACCTTGAGGGTAACCTTGAGAATTAACCTTGAGGGTAAACCTTGAGATAAACATCAAGATAAACCTCGAGGGTAGCCTCGAAGGTAAGGTAAACCTTGAAGGTAACCTTGAGGGTAAACCTTGAGGGTAAACCTTGAGATAAACCTCAAGGGTAGCCTCGAGGGTAAACCTCAAGGGTAACCTTGAGGGTAAACCTTGAGGGTAAACCTTGAGATAAACCTCGAGATAAACCTCGAGGGTAGCCTCGAGGGTAAGCCTCGAGGGTGAACCTCAAGGGTAAACTTCAAGGTAAACCTTGAGGGTAAATCTCGAGGGTAAATCTTGAGGGTAATTAACCTCGAGGGTAAACCTTGAGGGTAAAACTCTAGGTAAAACACCAGGTAAACTTTGAAATAATGAGGGTAATCCTCAAGATAATCCTTTAGATAAACCTAATCCTTAAGGTTTAAATAAACCTCAACATAAACCTTGATGGTAGGCCTCGAGGTTTATAAACCTCAAGATAGTCCTCAAGATAACCTTGGTGGCACACCTCGAGGAAAAAGTCCACATAAACCTCACAGTAAACCAGATGTTACCCCCTCTTGAATTTTGCATTCTTCCCAAAGCTGATGAGGTTTTTTTTATTCAAACAAATTCTAAATAAGGCAAAAAGCATCCGCTGTTAAGTCACATCAGTGTGGTCTTAAACCACTATTAAAATATATCCAAATTTCCAAATTCTGGGACAGAAATTCACGGAAAAATTGTACATACCTGACGGGAGCAAAATGATGCTATACTGAAAGCAATCAGAGCAAATAGGGAGATTTGTGTCCAGAACCTGAGCCAGTCACGATATCGCCTCCTGTAAAGAGAAAAAAGTTTATAAATAATTAAAGATGCGCCGTTCACGCTCTGCAACAAACTGAATTTGTAGCCCCCACAAATAATGACCTTTGAATATTTATTATATTGACACATATGCTGTTTTTGTTTTGGTGTCTGAATGAACAAGGTGTTCAACAAAAGCCATGTAAAAAGGCTTCCATTTTGGGTTGTCTTTGCGCACGATCTGATCCATCCTACAAGTAGACTGGTTCTTGGTACACAAGTTATCATTCCTAAAGGGAGGTGGTGGGGTGGGAACAAGTCAAACCTGTGCATATTAAATTAGTGTCGGGCTGCAAATAATTCAAAATTTGAAGTCGTTTATCCATCCATGGGCTGAGTTTTTTCAGTCGATGTCTCGAAAGGTGAATTTTAAAAGTAAAATCTATTTTGGCGGGTGAAACTAAAACACAACACAGGAAGTACATCCTAAACATTAACTCTTGCCCAGCTGAATCAAACACGATCCACCAGCAACTTTTTGGTCAGTTTTTGTTGATCCGAGAACCAAAAATCATTTGCTATAGCTTTTGAATTCAGCTGATATTGGGTTTGCCCTTCACCGATGTATTTTTAATTCTTTTTTTAATAACTCATAGATGTCCTGAATAATTGTGAGAAAAAAACTGGTATGGGTGGGACTCAAACCAACGACCTGCAGCTTACTATTTGCCAAAATCTTTAAATACTGGACCAACGAGCTTTCCGGGATCAGCTGGCTGCTTCGAATCTGATATAGCAGCGGGTACTGCAACCAAACTATTGATTATAACATGGAATTTTGCGTCAGGCCAGGGTTATGAAAATTCAATTTCGGGTTTTGCTCTACACCCACGTATTTTTTTAAAGCCCAAAGTAGGTCTTTTCTCACAATTACTCGGGACAACATGGAGTATACCGTGCGAAACCCAATATTGAGTTCACACACACGGATGCCTAATTCCATCTTATGAAATTAGTTGCTTTCACTCTGCAATAGCCGTTAGATGTAGCTGAATTCAAGACCCTCCTCACAAAATACCTGGAGCGGGGGTATGGGCAGGATTAAGGTCTAGAAAGCCAAAGTTTTTAAGTGGTATTTTAAAACTGTGTGTTCCTGTTTGTGGCAGGTCATGCATTTTGTGCTCTGTCAAAATGACGAAAATTAGGTTTTAAGGTGAGATTCTAAGTGATGTATACCAAATGACATTTTTCTGTTCCTCGTTTTGCTGGAATGCCCTGCTTACCATTCCCGTAGTTCATCTACGTGTAAGAACCGGTTTCTATACTCTCGTGGCAGCTCAAACTGCGAGACGATCGGGAAGAGTGCTTCGTAGAAATCTTGCAGCACGGCTTTCACCATGTACGCGTCGGGACTGGCGTGATCAATGTTGTCATTCAAGCAGACAAATTTTCTGCGGGAGCGAAGAAAAAAATGCTAAATAAATGCAGTGGCATAACTGAGGGCGGGGCAGGGGGGACGAGAGCCCTGCGTTTCTCCTCAGAGTTTGACAGAATAAAATGAACTTCTCCCCTCTCCTTTCCCTCCACACCCCCAACCTCTAAGTTTCCCCCTCCTCCCATCCCCGGAAAATACAACCACACTTCATGCCAATACGAGTTTTCCTAGCTTTTTCAAAACATTTTTTTGAGACGATGGTGGCAGCAAACATATCGGTCATTTCTCCATTGCTTACATCATGTTTAAGGCAAAGCGCAAATGCTCAATATGACGCGAACCATGGAAAAAGGACCAGTGTGTTTTCTGCCGCCAGCACCTCAAAAGTCTTCCATCATGTTCATTGCAAAACTAAACATCCCTGTGCTTTATAACATCTCTTTAAATATTTAAGATTGTCTGACAAAAGACGAAATTTAGCATGAAAGGCGCACTTAATAACTGATGTTGCTGGATGAATTTGAATAATAGAATCGGTGTAAACATTTTTAAATTGCCACAAAAACCTTTGATGTATTTTACTACAGAAATGTCACAAAATTATATTCAAACACAAAAATTAAATGTGCAAATTGAAGCTTGGCAATGCAAAGCACATATGCCTTGTTTGGCTTTATTGTGTCACGAAAAATATGTTTGAGGAAATTATATGTTGGAATTATTATTATATGAGGTTTGTTTGTAATTTTTTTATGATTGTATATTACAGATAAGTTGTTTTACTTGTATAAGATTGGTTGTTACGAGTACAAGATTATTTGTTGATAATTGTATGGAAGTTTATGGAGAATTGTCAAAAGTCATGGCCGTTTCAATTACTGTTTAAAACAAAACCAAATTATAAAAAAGGAACCTACATGTACGTTAACTTTGAGTTAAACCTCAATAGCACAAATAATTAACGATGTTTAATTTACAAAACCTTTGAAGAACTTCAATACTTGATTAAATTCGGGGCATACATGTACATGTAGGTACAATGTAGTTCAGCTTTTACTTTTTCAATGACTGCCATTGTGGATTTATCATGTCAATCACACCGGTCTGCAGACATAATGAACATGCGTCGGTCTCTGTGAATGGCTAAACGTTTAAACATTTAAAACGGTTCTCAAAATATTTGCTAAACGTTTACGAAATTAAATGCAAAGTCACATCCTTAGAAGGCAAACAAACAAAACTATGACACTTTGACCTCAGTTATCATGGCAAGAAACTGAAAACACTTTGCAAATTTTATTCAGAAAAGCAACATGTTGTACTATGGACCCGACACACCCAACATATTTATAGGCACCACGTCACCTGATGATATCATGCATGTAAGTGAACTTTGCTCACACCAGCCTCATCGAGTCACTTTGTGTTAATTGGCGCCATTACTTTTTACATGAACTCCATGTTGAGTTATCATTGAGATCAAATTTTGTCGCAAAGGAGACACGTAAACTATTTGGCAACCATTACCGGTTTACATGGTGAGGTAGTGCAAGTGTTGAGTTGCTGATCGTAACCATTTGGCTGAGATTGCAGTGGAAAAACATTTGACAGTCATGGCGGAGAGTACAGGATCGAGGCGGACAATTGATGATGATTTCTGGGTCACGAAACCGACCGATTGCCAAACCAGCGACAACAACTTGGGAGGAGTCAGTGTTTGGTGTGATGGGGACGATATCTTTAGATTCCTAGATAATGTGTGTGAGGGAGACAGACTGGAGTTAGACAATGACAAACTGCCGTACCTGCACTCCTGGGCCATCTGCAAGTCCATCAGTAAATGGAACCCCTTTCCCTGGTATGCAGTCCAATTCTTCAACGACGATGAGTGGGGCACGTACTCAACCAGAAATACCTTCTTGAATGTCGCATTCCCACCCAGTAAAGATGTAACGGCAATTGTTGTTACCCCCATCTTTACGTTTTTATTTAAGACAGGCGGTAAAGTAAGGATCAATAACTTCACAGATACATGTAAAGACTGGTCACCACCACTAGGCGAGAGACGTATTCGCAAGGAAATCACGTATCAGCTCAAAGAATTACATGAGATTCATGCAAGTTTAGAAGTGTACGTGTGCAGAAATCGGTTCATAGACAGTGAGGACTTTGTGAACTACTGTCGGTATGGCTACTGCAAAGACAATAATTACAGGAGAGTAAGCGAATGGTACAGCAAGGATAATATCGACATCGAGGGCTTCTTTCAAGAATTTCGCGTAGGAGACAGGCTGGAGTTCAGATACAGTTCTCCGTATCAGCGCTGGGGCATCTACATCGGTCAGTGGGGGAACGACCTCAAGCAAGTAGTCCTGTTTGACCCGGGCGACTCAGCAATGACTTCCTCGGGTATTGGGTCCTCGGCGAGACCTAAACCAGAACTTTGGGTTAAATCCATTTGGATACATGTAGTTATCGAAGGCAGACAAGTCAGAATCAACAACAAAGGAGATCTGAGGTGGTCAACATTAGACGGGGAAAATATTCTTGAGGAAATCAGTAGTCAGTTGCCGGGTAAGACGCGCAGACATGCATGCAAGGTTTTGTTCAAAGACAGTGAGGACTTTGTTAACTACTGTCGATATGATGACTGGCGCATTAATTTCGGGCTGGTCTGTGAGTGGTGCCCTCCGGATCCATCGCCTCGGTTGCATGTAGGTGACAGGTTGGAGTTCAGTCGCACTCTGCCGTACGCGCACTGGGGCATCTATGTCGGCGACTGGGAGGGTAAACACCACCAAGTCGTCCACTTCGCCCCAGCTGCTGACGGAAATGCTAAACTATTCTCCAAGAATAAGAGCTTCAGTTTGGAGTCGTCAGCGAAAGACAAACCAGAACTCTGTGTCGACGACATCTGGGAAGTTTCCGGAAATGATAAGGTCAAAATCAACAACGACAGAGATCACTTCTGGCCACCGTTAGTCAGGACTGATATTTTGGATAAAATGAAGCATCAGTTGGACAGTCAATCAGATGGGAACAAGCCAGTGTACCGTCTTTTCTCCAACAACTGCGAGCACTTTGTGAACTACTGCCGGTATGGGAAACATCACAGTGACCAGGTCAACCGCATTTCTTGGATGTTTGACCAATTCGTCGCATATCTGACGAAGTGACGAATGGGCCATTTTGGTGGTTTTTTTAATTGAGTTTTAGGGTTCAAAATATTTGAATTTTCAGATTTTTAGGTTTTTATTTCATAAAAACACTTCAGTTTTGTACATTGTAGTTCTGAAACCCACTAAGTGACGAATCGGCACATGTTGAAAAAACTGTTTCTTGCGAACTGACGATTAAATTATTCGACGTTTCGTATATATCAAAACAGTGCGCATCTATTATCTGATGTAGTGACGAACAACCAGGTATTCATTGGTCCGTCAGCTTTCAAAACAAACGGCACTGCAACACTATAATGATGACTTGAAACAGATAACTGTAACTACTTCACCTTAATGTATATATTTGTGTGTGTGTGGAGTTCTAATCGTTAAAATGAACAGAGTACTAGGCTACGTCTGCGCAGTGTATAGGCCTAAACAGACTGGGATTTATTGTATAACCGTGGGATAAATTTTCCTTCAAAACTGGTATTTTATAGGAATTCCACAATAGGCCTACTGCATTTCGAGGTATTCTCAAAAAGGAGTCCCTTCAAGCGGCTAATTAGAGCAGAAAATCGTATTGGAAAAAAACCCATTCTGAAATGAAGTGGGTGAAAATAAGGATTATTAAACAAAAATATTATTTTATTCAAAACATGTGCGGTACATTTTTTTAAAAAGTGCGTTCCATGGGAGACCCGAAATACTGCATATTGAGATTTTCTCGAAAACGGAGCCCGTTTAAGTGGCTAATTGGAGCAGAAAACCTCATTGGAATGAGCCTATACTGAAATTAAGTGTGCCCTGGAGAGTGATGATTAGGATAATCAAATAAAAATATGAACCATTTAAACAATATGTGCGGTACACTTTCTTTCAAAGACGACGGTTTACAGCATACCAAAAATACTGCATTTGAGATACAATTAAGTTTGTATTCTTGGAAAAGGAGCCCTTTAAGTGGCTAATTATAGCAAAATGTCTAATAGTAATAAACCTATACTGAGATTATTATGCCCGGGAAGATGATAAGTATGGGATTATAAAACAAAATTGTGATTGTTTTTTTAAACAATTGCTGTCTCAAATGAATGAATGATTAAATAAATAGCGTCGTTCATTGTTAATTCACATTCACAGTTTTCTTTTCTTATCATTTTGTTGATATTTTCCATAATAATAACTTTTTTATATAATTAAGCTACTTTATATTATTAAAACATATCATAGCGAGTACTTGGATTTGAACGTGGGGTTTCAGCGTTACCATATTTTTTTCCTTAAAAGATATTGAAAAAGTTTGTAAAACATAAACATTTCTTTGAAAATGTGCGTATTTAGTGTTGTAAAGAAGTGACGAATATGCCATGAATTAGTGATGCGAAAACGCGCACACACTCAAAATTTTATCTTACAAAGTGACGAATAAGAAATGTTTACGTGGCGAATAAGCACAATGACGTTTATTGCTATCTCGCAAAGTGACGAATAAGTTTCACAGCAAGAATTAGACAAACCTTTACTCTCACAAGCAAAAAACAAAGTAATAGATGTACTTTAACAAGCAAATAACTACCTTGCATAAATTAAGAATGTAAAAGAGGGGAAAGTGACATCGAAAATGAACACGTAAAAAGTGTTCAACTTTAAACGCGTTTTTCTCAGAATGGAGTTTCCGCGTATTCGCGCGTATTCATCGGTTCGTCAGATATGCGACTAATTGACGAAAGGTCAATGAAGACGGTTTCAACAATTAATCGATTCGGTCCACCTCTGGTGGAATCCTCCCTCCCAGGCCACGGCAAAAAACATAGCAGTACATGCCAACTAAACTTCTTCCCCAAAAGCTACCCCATTCCTGAGCCAAAGCTTGGTTAGCCCTCTACTATGAAGGAAGGGTGCATACTTTAAAAAAAAAATTGGAGTAGAAAAAAGTAAACCTCTGCTTTACCCTCCTGACACATGCCAACATTTCTTCAACTAATTTATCGGGCACATTCATGATGCAATTTGATTTGTAAATTAATTGGGGAGTTTCCACTGGATTGCATGTTCAGTGATACAGTCTTTCCAAATGTGTATCTTAATGTGCTTATTTAATTGATTTACTAATGAACTCTGCCAAATTTTTATACAATGGCTTCTACATGTACATGTATTTGGACTTTGTATCTGTTTTTGCAGGCAATTTTATTCAGTACTTGAACATACATGTACATGAAGCTTGAAATTGCGTATATTTCTATTTGACTAATACCCCAATGTCAACATGTACATACCGGTATGTACAATGTACAAATTAAAACATTTCATTATTCAATACTGAAGGACACAATGTTATGTTTCTTCCTACACTTTTGATTTTAGTTTTGGTTTCATTATATTAAATTTTAACTGGTTTATTTGTATTTCTGTGAAGCGCCTCGAGCGTCCAGTTTTGATGCATTTGGCACTTTTATACAAGAATTACAATGTATTTATCGTTATTAATATGTAGATTTGTTTCTGTTAGTTAGAAATAAAAATTCAGTGCACAGTGCTTTGTCCCAGACAGACTGTTAGCTCAATGTGTGGTGTAACTGCAAAGTGTTAAGCACCATTGACTGTGGCCAGTACTTGGATGGGAGACCATTCCATGAAATTGTCCTGGTTGGTGGCTTGTTTGGGATATGATGGGGCTCCTTCAATCCTGCGTCTTTCGGATGAGACATAAAACTGTAGGTCCTGTGCCTTGTGTAATGCACATCAAACACCCAGCCTGACACTTATCATCTTGCCCCACTGTTTTTGGATTGGCTGCATAATGCGCTGAGCATGTTTGGACTTGGACTTTGGAGTACACTGTACGTGTATTGATTTATGTGATACGAATTTGAACATATGGAATTTGCTCAATATAAATTAACATTATTACACACTACAAGCTTATATGATTACACGTAGTCAGTGACTTTTTTTGCGTTGTTTTTGCACTGGAATGGAGTAAAGGTTAGTATTATATAGGCAACATGAAAACGTTTATCATTCAAATTCATCTATTGCAATATTCAAGCTCGTTCAGGAACATTGATTTTGTGCACTTTTAATGTCATGCAATTTCAATTTTAGTTCAAGCAAATTCGAACCATGAGTACATATTTTCATCCAGAGTATTCAATTTTGTCTTGTATACATGTGCCAAACCGTGCAATTCAAAAAATATTTTGTCTCATTTCACACAATTTAATCGTAAGTTTGTTCAATCATCATTCTTCATTTTGACGTCATAACTGCTAAATTTTGCTTCTAAATTTAAATCTACTTTGTTTTGTTGTTCTTTGTAATCTTTACACTTCTTTGGCTACTTTGAGTTCAGTACCAGTACCTCTATTTGGTCTGATAAAATTTTGCAAGTGAATGTGCCGAATTGTGCTTGAGGACACAAGGGAAATGCTTTAGCACACACAAGATTTACTTACTTACTTACTAAGTTTTAATATGAATGATAGAAGTCAAATTTGGCAGTAGCTGAGATGAATTTAATCTGCATTGATGAATATTCATGATAACGTACTTAATTATTAAAGTTGACCTGAATGATAAATAATTGAATCAGTTTTAGTAAAAGCGTTTGAAATTCTTCTCTATCAAAATTGACAGAGTTGGTAAATTTGATTTCAAAACATTTAAAGATAGCCAGGAAAACCTATATGATAAAATTCTATCAAGGTAATTTCTTAAGTCCAGTCCTTCAAAGTCCTCACAAGTCCATCACAAGTCCTCCAGTTCTGAGCTAAAGCCGAAAAAACCAACTTCTGCTTCCGATTACATGCCTTTTCAAAAAAAAGGTTGGTTGGTCAGAATTTTTTGTGTGTGCAAATTTCTTTATGCAGATTGAAATGGGGTGTTCAATTATATGTGAAGTTTTAGCCTGAATTATTTCTATTGAACTACGAAAGCTATACACGAAATGGCAACAAAAAGTGAATAAAACCTACCTTAGTTATTGTCAATATATTTACGTTCCATAATTCTTAAAAAATAATGGAAAATTCAGGTCGTTCGCACCATATGCACAATGCTAGTCAAGACGGGAAGCTGGTCAAAACTCCGAAGTGTGTGATGCACTGTGCATGTGTGGTGCGCGGCCGACAGACCTCGTTTTTATGGTCGAAAATGTTGGTAAACATACTGCATGTATCACTCCAAATACGAGAAGTGCGATCTCAAAATGAAATTTTGAACACGGAAAACACACACAGACAAGCTAGATCAACTCTGTGAATTAACTTGCAAAAATGTTATTTCTCCATCAGTGTTTTCTTGGCTTTTTTACGATGTTGAATCCGACCAGTTGACAGTGCACTGGTGCCCTGCAATGCATCTATAGCCATGCTAGCACTATCGATCGATCGCATAGCCATGCACAGACTTATTACCGCATTTTCATCATGTCTTCTAAACTGGCCCCGGCGTGGCGGGAACCAGTTGTCGCTGCACTGCGCTAGGTTTACGCACGTGATTATAGTCACCTTGACATCGAATTGCGAAGTAGCTATCACCTTTTATCGCAAAGCGAATTTGTCAAAATAACAGAGGTTTCTTTTGAAAAAAATAGCGAATGTAAGTAAGAAAACAAATAAAAACAAGCATTTTTTGACGCAAATGGGTTGTTGAGAAGTATTTTGTGAAGACAGAAAAGACAACAAGAAGATTCAATTTTTATTTATTCAATCATTATTTTTTTTTTTGGCCTAAGTCACAAGCTATACACATGAACTGCGACAAATTCCTTTGTCATTGATCATCCCCTTTCACTCGTGACAGAACTTGTGATTTACTTTCAGTTAATTAACTGAGCTTGTGATTGACTTGGGTACAACACTACCCTGGGCAGCGCGTTAGCGAAACCTCGGCCTTTGTTTCCCAGCGTTGGCTTCACTTTCATGGCTTTACGTCCTGACTTTCGAAACTCAGGCTCAACACTTTCTGCTGCCACTGAACATCAAATCCTATATAAATATGAGGCAAAAATTTAGAGTATTTCGTTTGAATTCAGAAATGGACTTACTTTGGGTTCTTCCTGATGTCATCCAGTTGACCTATGACCTGTGACACATTGGTTCGAATCATCTTAAAGGCTATATCGTCATCACCCAGGATTTCGTACCTGAAATGACAATCAACCATTGAGATGGATGCGTATTGTATGACTCTAGAAACCACAGAATTCTGCGCCTTTATTCAATTTTCCATGCTTACAGCATGTACGGGGCAAGCAAACAAGTTTTGTGCATGCAACACTAGCAAAGAAATTTTGCGCTCACAGCACTAGTTCAGAAACTCAGCACTGTTCTTTTTAAAGTTACATTCCCGGGCTATTTTTGAGTTTCATCCCAAAAAATAGATTCCTTTTCTAAATTGCTATTTTTCTAGCTATACAAAAGTTAATCGCTTTTGAAGGAGACATGGACTGAAAGAAATCGAACTACATTTTGGTTACAGGTCTCTCTCAAATGACGTCATTCCAACAGACCAGCCACGTGCATCGGCATTTTGAGCATCAACTTGCATAACGCGCATCGGCTGCGTCGTATTTCAAACATTTCGAGCATCAAGCGCGTGTGTTTGGAACATTTTCAACACTGCGCAATGCCTGCTTGATTTGTGTGAAATGCACAGTTATAGTTCTAGTACAGAGATGGCCGTCTTTGAGAGAGACCTATTGAAGTATTTCTTTACAAATTTCAAATTTCTTGCAGACCGACAATAAATCTGTAAATAAGCCGGTTTCCGCCCCACAATCAGTATCAACAATGAACCAACCAGGAACCAGTTTGCTGTTTGTGCCCAAAATGCAACAGTTTATTTGTCAGAATAAAACATTCAAGTTAAAAATGCATTAAGAGCGAAAAAAAATGGAATGTGTTGAAGAGCACAGGAATGTAAATTTAAGCAAAAATCCTTATTTTACAGAGTCAACACATGAGCACAAGCCAAATTTCCTTGCTAACCCATGAAACAAACAAACCGTTGACTCAGATTATGTTCCAAATTGGCAAGAATTTCTTTGCTAACGGTAAAGCAGAATCATGAACCATTTTTTATAGCCCGTAGACCTGTTGACTTTTTTATCTTTTAAATACACTGCCCAACTTACTTGTAATTGGTTTGACCTTTGACACTTTTCTGCATCAGATCAGTCACCGCTGTGCACTTAGCGACTAAGGCCTTTGTTACTTGCGGCTGCAAAAACAATAAAATATTGAAGAAGAAAAAAACATGAAATGTGCAAATCTTTGCGAAAGGACTCGGGTTCCTTTGCAATAAAAGTTGTTTTTTGTCTTTCTATCAAGTCTGTTTTTTTTTTTTTTCAGGAAAAACATTTTAGTTGGCATGTTTTATGCACATGAACCTTTTAATACTGTATTGGTTTTTTAAATGCAATGGTAAAGGGCGGTGCTGAATATAAAAGTATATTGAATTGAAAATGTATTTCATTGACTTGATACACCAATTGAAAGCAGTCAATATTTGTGTATTGACTGTTTCAAGTGGTATGGGCTCCGTGCGCTAACAAAAGAGGGCGCCCTTTTACCTAGCAATGACGTCCCATGGGCAGGACACAAAGATTTCCCTGGTTGACGCGCGCACACCGTTCCTAGTGTGTGACGCACATACACCAGGGGATTTGTACTATGTACACGCAGTGGCCGCGCTTCGCGGCAAAATATTGCAGTCAGGCAAGATGGCGTCGGTCAGTCACCCCCAACTGTACTTTCTTTGCCGGTGAGGGGGTACTTGTGAACGGAGCGGATAGCAATCAAGATAAGTTTCTTTATTCGCTGACCATCCTCGTGATTGGCATGTGACTGACATGTGATAAACTAGTGAGTGAATTAGGATCCTTGATTCATCGTACGTCTGCATTTGGTTGACACGGGACAAGTGTGTGATTGACTTGTGATTGACATGCGATGGACACGTGATTGACTTGTGATTAGCATGTTATTGATGTTATTGATATGTGATTAACATGCATGTGATTGACATGTGATTAACTTGTGAGTGATTTATGATCCTCACTTCACAGTATTTCTGCATTTGATCGGTATGTGTTTGATTTGTGATTGACATGTGATTGACATGTGATGTACATGTGATTGACTTGTGATTAGCATGAGATCGACATGTGATTGACATGAGATTGACATGTGATTGATACGTGATCAACATGCGATTGACTACTGACTGACTGACCATCTTCTCTTCGTAGTACTTTTCCTGCATGAGGCTTGGGTCTTCATAGACATCTTTGCTGAGGTTCTTGGCACACTGGATGAAGTTGTTCTCCAGGGAGCTCAGGGTTTGTAAATCTAGAGGAAGCTCAAACAGCCTTGTGGCTAAGGTACGGATTTCCCGATCTGACAACACCCTGGACAATTTTCAATCAAAACCACCGAGAAAGTAAATGAAGTTGAAATTAGAAGTTAAATACATCAACAAGAGCATTATCCTTCTGTTTTTAACCATTTGTGATGTGATCAAGCTACATGAGTCATTTGTTGACCCAGGTCAATTTTTTTTTATTACAGATTTGAAAAGAGCACAATGTCAGCATTACTGCTGTGAAAACCGCATGCTGATACCATCTTTAGTTCAAAAATTATGGAAGTTGGAACACCAAGAGATGTAATGGGGTGCTGTGATGAAGTGATCTTATTTTGGCCTGTACCTCCAAATAAAAATTCCTGACAAACTACTCATTTTAATAGCTTGATCGCATCACACTTTGTTTGCCTATTACTGGTTCTCATCTTGAATTTTGTTTCTAAGGTAATACTGCTTCTCAATCAGATGAACATACATGTATGAAACACAGCAAAATGAAAAGACTAATTACTAAACAAGCATGCAGGATCTATAAAAAAGAAGACGTATTTCCAAGTTCGCAACATTTTGCAAATTCTGCAATGCCAATTTTGTGCCAAACGTGACCCGGTCCTTACACGTAAAAAACCCATACACATACCCGGAATGATCGGTGTCAAACTCGTCAAAGATTTCGTTGGTGTCCACTTCCTTCGGGGAGCCGATGATGTAATACATGTAGGAGAAAGCAAACTGCATGTCCCTGGAGTGACGGATCTGATGGGACGACGTCTCATCAAACTCAGCCGGAAATCTGATCGCAAAGAGAGAATTTTTCATGTTTTAAAGGCATGGTAGCAACATTGCCCTGAAACGTACCTACCAATTTCACAAAAAAGTAACAGATAAAGATGGAACTACTTCAAGTACAAAATACCCTGTGAAATTATTAAGCTTGAAATGGTATCATTCGGAAGAAAACAATCATTGAATGTGATTCGAGAAAAGTTCCAGCGGGCACATATGTTTACATGGACGTTAGCAATGCAATCTACGAGTATTAAAATAATATTCATAAATACCTCAGACAGTTTAGCTATTCCTATTGGTCGAGAGCCCGTCACGTTGCCGGTTTTAAACGGATGATAAAGACATGGCTAGCTGGTCTTAAACACTTTTCCAGTGTCACAATAAAATGTGGACTCCTAAAAATCCAGTGCCTCTTGCCGTTTTATTGGTTGAACGTTCACCGTCCTCACGTAGGCATGCGCAACACTACCAGCGAGTCAGAATTTTATAGTTCTAAATTCAAAACGCAACGCCCCAGGTGCGTTCTGCGCGACATCGCGTCCATGTCGCGCAGAACATGCTACGCGTGCGTCAATCTCCATAAAAGGGTTGTTTACATCTTACTCGCCAGCTGAACATTTCATTATTTTGCTAGAGGGATGTTTCAAAAAGCATGAAGTGAACTTGCTGAACAAAATCAGGATTTTTTGAACGAATTGTTTGATCTTTTTTTACCGAAAAGGTATTTATGAATGGGAATAAATGTGTGCTCGGTCGGTATTTATCACTCTGTTTAATACCACTTAGAGTCTGGGTGCTGATAATTACCCTCGCCTCCGGCTCGGGTAATTATCAGCACCCAGACTCTAAGTGGTATTAAACAGAGTGATAAAAACCTCCGGAGCACACATTTATTCCCTTAATAATAATTTTGGAGGCTTAACCGACTTTTACTCCAAACTTACTCTGCTTGTAGTTCCTTCATGATGTTGACGTCAATCATGTGGGGTATGTGGCCCGGCACTTTGCGGGATATGAACCCGAACCGCTTGTTGAACAGCCTGTTGACGTGGATCAGCGAGTCGGCAAATGTGTCCAGTGTCTTCCTGCTCCTGTAGCTTGTCATCTGGTAATCCGACTTTGTTTCTTTTTCCTAGTAAAGAATACGATGTAATTTTACAGAAAAATTGTGGTGAATTTTTGTTTTGGGGGTGGGGGGGGGGGGGAGAGGGAGTGTTATTCTACGAAGTCATTCTGAAAAGTAGCCATACTTTTCAGGCAGCCCCAAACGCTGTATGATGTTGAAACGTCCTAGATACAACACTTGCAAAATATAGACTTTGGCAGATATACATGTATGCAAATTCTATACATAACTAAAGCTAACATGCCTAAAGTGAAGTAAAACCAGTTACCAGTTCACGCCGCGATTATTTTGACAAGAACGGAACAAGGCGCGGGATTTATTTTCACTCGACCACAAGCCAGGCGGGTTGAAGCCATTCACCGTCAATTTCCAGCCTCGCTCGCTGCGAGCGGGTCGCCGACAGATATTTCCGGACTCACTCCCTGCGTGTTTATCTGTCATCCGTTCTGAAAACCGCAAAACTTTTGCGTGTATACAAGGCCATTGGCGCAAACTGGTTAAAACTTTAAAAGAAAACCTCAACACACTTAGAATGTTTGAGTGCAAGAAATTTAATGATCAACAGCATGCGCAAGCCTTGTCGGAAATCTTGTGTGTGCATTATCATGGGGAACAAAGATGGCAGCTGTTGGCTTCAGAACTTAGGCATTGTTAGTCAATCCTGTTAGCATACAGGTCAGTGGTCTTACCTTAGGGACTGCTTTTCTCTCCCACGGCAGGAAGCTTGTCTTCCTCATGAACTTGTCAGCATCCTCCGCCATTTTCTCAGCCTCTTCATCCGTGACATCATCCATCACCATGGCAACGGCATCTTCCTCCTGCCTTTTTGGACTTGCGCCTTTGGCGCTTGTTTTATCAGACTTTTTATAAATGCTACCGTCGCCTTCGGCATTGATTCTCATTTGTTCAAAATATTTCCCAAGGTGCTTTGGGTGTATCCCATGATGCTCTCTGTTACTAGGCAGTTCTCCTTGGGCATTACCAAGTCTGTTAGATTTTGCATGTGGAAACGGTGTGCTGGAAGAGTGAGTGAAATTTAAATAAGAAATTTCTTCTAGTAAAGATGTGTTGATGTGGTGCTGTTCTGTAACCAGATCATAATTTTCATCTGATAAAAGTTTCCGCCTTCGGAGATTCATGTCATTATTCCCAAGCCCCAGTTTTCGTCCAGTTTCTTTCCTTCTGCCCTTATATAATTTCTTTTTCGGAAGCTCTTCATCTATTATCCTTTTCTGCTCCTCATCTTTTGGAACCAGTTGCGGCTGGTTCAGTCCAGCATTCTGTTGTTCTTTCCGGTCTGGTCCGGCAATTTCCAGCCCAGGCCGGTTCAATCCAGTTTTCTTGTCTGAATCCTGCTGCATCTGTTGTTTGACAGTGTCGTCTTGTTTCGGGATTTGTTCCTGAATCTGAGCATTTTCATTGGGCAACCACTGCTCCGGTTCTTTTGCACCGAACGGATTAAACCTGTCCTGAGGAAACTGGTTCTCGGCAACAAATTGTCTGTTGGCAGGATTTCCCTGGTTCCCCTTGTTCACCAGGTTGGGAGCAACAGGTTGACGGTTGATCAGGACGGGTTCCCGCCAGTTCTGAGGACCGACTTGCTCAACTTGCCCCCGAGGGTTCAAAGCAGCCTGCTTCGGGGGCTTCCTGTTGAACAGGACTGGCTCCAGTTCATGGATATTTGGCGGCCGCTGCGGATTTAGCTGACCACCTAACTGGTTCCTGCCGTTGTTCTGATTGGGCATCTTCCTGCTGTTGTCATGGTAATTTAGATTATTCATGGAGGGTTGTTTTTGTTGGGCTTCACCTCCTGGTCCGGCAAATTTGGAGTTTTTGGATAAATCTTCAGGAATTTTATCGTCCACCTGGGGGGCATGGGGCTGCTCTTGCTGTAGCTTCTGCAGGCCAAGTTGTTCCTTCCCTGGTTGGGAAAACGGTTGTTGCTGGTTTAATTGCTGTTGTAACTTGGGCTCCTGTTGCTGTCGAAAAAGTGGTTGTTGATTCAGTTGCTGCTGTTGTTGAGCTTGACCTTGTGGTTGTTGTGCATTTACTTGTTGCTGTTGCTGAACTGGCAACTGCTGCTGATTGATTTCTGGATACTGAATATTAAGATGCTGCTGCTGCTGTTGCATAGGTAGCTGCTGATTCTCAGGAAAAAGTTGCTGCTGTTGATCGCTTTTTGGCTGCTGCTGTTGAAACAGGGGTTGAAGCTGTATTTTTGGTTGCAGTGGCTGCCCTTGTAAGTCCGCCTGCTGCTGTTGTAGGCCTGGCTGTTGCTGCTGCACGGGTTGCTGCTGTTGTTGCATAAGTGGATTTTGCTGTTGTAAAATTGGCTGCTGCTGTTGTTGTTGTAAAATTGGTTGCTGCTGTTGTTGTAAAATTGGCTGCTGCTGTTGTAAAATTGGCTGCTGCTGCTGTTGTAACAGTGGCTGTTGTTGTAACAGTGGCTGCTGTTGCTGTTGTAACAGTGGTTGCTGCTGCTGTTGTAAAAGAGGTTGCTGCTGCTGCTGTTGTAAAACTGGCTGCTGTTGCTTTTGCGAAATTGGCTGCTGCTGTTGCCCAAAAGCTTGTTGTTGATGCTGTTGAAATACTTGCTGCTGTTGCTGTTGCACAAGAGGCTGTTGGACATCAACAACTTCTTGCAGCTGCTGCTGCTGCTTTGGCTGTTGGTTTATCTCCTGCAGTTTTTTACTCTGATCGAACAGAAACTTTTCCTTCAACATTTGTTCCTTTTGAGCTAAAGTTTTCTCTCTGGTGTCACGGACTTCTGGTACTTTACTCCGACCAAATCCAACAAAGTCTTGTTCCCCTTCAACGCCCTTTCTCCTCACCCGTTCCTCTCCCAAATCCGGCTGGAAATCCGCCTGCCTGAATTTCATCTTCTTCAATTCGTCCATGCTGTCCTCCACATTAACTCTGTCATTTTCCGGTTTGTGGAGCAATTTCCCGTCAGCATCTTGCAAGAGTTTTGGAGAGTCACCAACCTTCTGGTATGCTGCAATATTTTTGTCAGCTACTGCTTTCTCAGCACCTTTGTTCACATAATCCGGTGACTGTAGATACTCTTGAAGAATTTGTGCCTTCAATTTTCTGTAGCCTTTGTCCGTGATGTCCCCTACGGTTGAAAAAAAGTCAAAAGAGCGTGCAAGTTAACCTAAAAACCTACGAGGGTGATGAGAATACAGCACATCCAGGAACCATGTGTAGGATCTACAAAGTGTTTAACATCCTTTTGTTTGCATTATTTTGTGTCCAGACTGGGTCCGTCAAACCAAGGGCAATAAATGGATATTCCGAAATAAAGAGAGCTTTACACTTCACAATATTTCAAAAGTATTGCAAATGCAACATAGACCAGTTAAAATTTGCTTCACGAGAACAATATCGCAAGTAATTTTGTTACTCATTTGTTCAAAGACATTGAGAGGCAAACTTTATGAATTCAGCGTGATAGTGAATTTTCCCTCTACAGGAAATGATTGTCTCAAGTCAGGCTAACACAAATAGCGCCCTCTACATTCCATTAGAGGCCAGGGGGCTTACCGTCTGCCAGTTTTTTGTCGAGCTCGGCCAGTTTTGAGGTGACTTCTCCGCCGAGTGATTCTGTGTCAATGGCTGGCAGTTCCACAGCGGGGTTGGTGTTTACGTGAATCTTGGGCCCCCTGGAAAAGGAAGAGCAGAAAAATATATTTAACTTTACCATCTTTAATTACTGTCCAATCAAAAAAGTGGGATTTGTACTGTGTAAAACAGAGCTTTTCTTATAATGAACGAAATTCTTTTGAAGATTTGAATCAAGTACAGGGGAGCGACGCTTTACCGAACACCACTATACCGAACATCGTGCTTGGCTCCTGATTTTTGTGTGCAAAATGTATCGAACATTGTTGTTGCAAAATGTCAATAGAAGAGTGACAAGTGGCTATTATTTCCCTAAGGAATAGAAGGGGAAAGCCACCCATTGCTGTAGGTAGTAAGCTCAAAAAATATGTAATTACATCATTCAACAGTCAGCATGTGTTCAAAGTTGTCTTTCAGTAAACTACCAAGGCGTGCAGGGTGAAGTTCTAAAAGGCGCTATTTATTGAAAAGTGAATAGCGGAGCACCAGCAGCTTAAAATCACTTTCGTTATAGCGGCGTTCCACTGTACATTCCATTGACAAGTTATAGCCGTTTAAAATTCCCATTCACCGACATGTCAAAACAATAAAATACTGAGAAAAAGGCCTTTAAAGTCTGAAGTTCTGAAGTCGTGAAAATGACAGACTGTAAGTGTTTTACCTGAAAAACACTGTTATTGCGAAAGTTTTATGCTATATCTTGAAAACATGCGTAATTCATGTATCAAAGATTTCAAATATCAATAATCTGAAATCCAAAATTTTTTTTAAAAACTCATTGAGTTTTTTTTCTTCATTTTCTTCACTAAGGCCTGTGTCTAGTTCCGTCTCATATTGCCAGAACGCCTCACAATTGTGCGTACTGGTTTGTGCATGCATAGCATGAAGTACACACAACTAAATTTATTCTAAATGTGCACAAAGCCACAGTGTCTTCACATGATCATCAGGCGTTGTTTGGCAATGCGTTCGAATATCTCTCCCAGTGGTCTCCCCCGATTCTCCTGTTCTTGCCGTTGAGGGGGTACTTGTGCAAAGAGCCGATTGGGGATTAAAAAAAACTTCTCAGACGAGGAACTGGAAGTTATTTGACTGAGGGGGTACTTGTGCAAAGAGCCGATTGGGGATTAAAAAAAACTTCTCAGACGAGGAACTGGAAGTTATTTGACTGACCTTTCATGCTCTGGAATGTCAGGGAAAAGGACCTTGGACAATTCATCATCATCATCATCGGTTTTATTTGTCTTTTCATCCGTTTCTTTGACGATTGTCAGCGCCCTCTCGGGAATGGGGACTGAGTTGACTGTCACGTTGAATGCCACCTGGGTTGGAGAGAAAATTAAATATTAAAAACTTACAAGTAATGTCATTGGACAGTAAAGTTGGATTTCTGTAGCAGAAGCAATCAAATACAGTGTACCATTTGGCACAAGCCAACAAGAGTAACAAGGCTTGTCATTGGATAGAAAAAAATGGCATACTGTTGTCAGTGACCAATCACATACACTGTTTCATTCCAAGTGCATCAACCAAAGTAATACAGGGTCTGTCATTCATGTCACTGGACAGAAATCTAGCCAAAATCTGACCGAACCAATCAAATACAGAGTCCCATTTTGTACCATACAGTAAGCTAACAAGAGTAACGTTGCTTGTCATTGGACAGAAAAATGGCATACTACTGTCAGTGACCAACCACACACACTGTTACATTCCAAGTGCATCAACCAGAGCTACAGGACCTATCATTGGATAGAAATTGAGCCAATTTCAGCAAAGGCCAATCAACACCAGTGTTTCATTCCAAATAATTTAGAAATTGTTGATCCTCTCTCTCCATCAATACTTACGTTGAGCAGCGTCCCGTCATTCTTCTGTCCGCTGACGTTAACACTGATCATCGTGTCCGATATGTTTTCGTGGAGCAGCATGGTGATGAGTTTGTACTTCTGGGCGACGGTGGCGGTCCGGACAATCTTGTAATCGTCATACTGTGCTTCGGTGATCGAGGAATTGGCGCCGAAGATGGTGGTCAGGTTCAAGAAAAAGACCATGATTCCTGAGTGGGTACGAAAAATATAACGGGGTTTTTAAGAAATCTTGGCTTCGTCCCCGCTTCAGGCTCCTGGTTCATGACATGAGTTCTCCGACTTGACAGACAATACAGGGTGATTCAAAAAAAGCAAAACCACAATGTTGGGACTATTGTAATAGTGAAGTTCTGCATATAGCACTTTCAAAATCTAGGATATGAAAGACCAATTTATAAGCTAGTACAAGGATCACTCAAATCACCCATGTACTTTTCAAGTTATGGAATTTTAATCACAACCACCATTTTAAAGTTCTGTCCATGGATCACAAGAAGGTGTGTTCTTTTTTCAAAATGAAAACAAATCACATAGGGATGTGTGTGTGTGAATTGTTTTTGTTTTGCTGAAAGAACGCACACCTTTTTTGTGATCCGTGGACAGAACTTTAAAACGGTAGTTGTGTTTCAAATTACGTAACTTGAAAAGTACATGAGTGATATTTCTACTAAAAGAAAGCTTATGAATTGGGCTTTCATATCCTAGATTTTGAAATGCCTACACACACAACTTCACTAAAACAATGGTCCCGACATTTGGGTTTCGCTTTTTTCTTACTCACCCTGTATTGGTCCATTATCTGCTATAGAGAGACCAAAATTCTGTCGCACAAGGTAAATGGTTGGGTTTTTTTTCATTGAGTTTGAATGTAGAAGGATTCCTTTGAATCTTGGGCTGGAGAAACAGACGAAGACGAATTTGGGGATGGAGCCAGGTTTTCGTAAACCCTCAAAGTTAAAGAAAGCTTGGGCTATCATCGGTGACCAGGCCGCAAATTGTTTTTTTCCAAACGGTTCTGGTTTGCCATCTTCTGATTGGTCCATTACATACATATCTAATGCCTTGTTCTAGACAACACAAACCCAACATAGGCTTTACCCAACATAGGAAATGTTCCTTCCTTACTTATGCTATTAAAAAGGTAAAACAAGAAGCAGCTAAAAACGCGAACTCGGATCACCTGATTTGAAGTCTGGACTACAGGTACTTCCAACCAGTCCACGAATCTGCTGACAATTGTCGGTGATTTCAACACTTTTATTCCTTATTATATAACTAATTCTCTAAAGCACTGGACATCCTATGAATATGTATAACGCAGAGAGAGCGCCCTCTTCCGATATTGCTTTGGTATAAACAATTTTGCAACGGTTTTAAACCAGACGTATAAAACTGCTCCAACACATTTTAAAGTTCTGTCCACAGATCACAAGAAGGTAAGTGCTCATTCAGCAAAACGAAAACAAATCACAAAGGGATGTGTGTGAATTTTTTTCATTTTGCTGAAAGAATGAACACCTTTTACACATAGTTTGGCATCTTAGTAACGGGTATATGAAGATTGTGTGTAGGTGGACATTTTGACTGTTCTTTATACTTATTTTTATTGTGCAGGATTCATTAACCCTAACTCCCTAGGCCTTTTTGCTATGATGTAGCCTCAATCCTGCAAAATCCTCCAATTGGCCTTATGGAAAAATAGCATATACATTGTACATGTAGCCTCAATCCTGCAAATTTCTCCATTATTTCTTGAATATTCTGCAAAATCCTGCAGCAGTGACTGTCAATATGTCGAGGCTTGGCCAGTGACATCCTGGAGCAGTAAGGAGGATTTCAAGCATAATCCAGGCCTATATTCATGCATGGTTAAGGCAAAAACAACACAAGGTACGGCCCAAGACCTTGACAAAGTGCATCCTACGAAATCAGTAACACACTTTTGCCATGTAACCTAAATCCCCCAAATTCCCCACTTTGACAAAAAGGATTTTGAAGAATTCAGGGCGGTTAGGGTTAAAACTGCCAAATACTCTGAGGTAGCTCTGGTGATTTTTGCCTCGTTTGGTTGGGTAGGGTAGCATTTTTGAACCAGTGTGCAATTTTAAAAATTACTTTTAAAAGTATACAATACATGTACAAATGATCACATCTATCTCCTTCTACCTTCCTCAATCCTACCAATTCCTCCAAAACTCCCTTGTGGGTTTTGAAAGGTTATCTAACCTTTTGGTATTGTGATATTCACTGGTCCCTTGATATCCACGCCGTACAGCTTGTTGAAGTTATCCACGCCGCAGTCGCCGGCATCAAAGCCACACTTGGCAACGTTACAAGTCTGCAATAAACACACAAAACGAGAACAAACAGAAAACCTCCTGTTACTTGCTGCTTAATGTGTGATTTGACTGTAAATTAAATTGATTAATTGATTTATTGATATTTGTAATCTTTGACACATCTACTACACCTATTTTAAAGAAATTGTGGAAAAAACATGTGTTTAGGGAAAAAACAAATTGTCATCTTTCATATTAACGACTACAAATCAGTCAAAACTTTGAAGGACTTTTGCTCAGTATTTTACATTTTTGATGTGTCAATAAATGCGAAATTTAAACAGCCATAACTTGTCAACGGAATGTCCAAGTGTAGTGCAACGAACAGTATTGTAAGGAGATTTCATTTTCTTTCCCAATACCCACAAACTCTCAGTTCGACCTTTGCCCGGTACTGTCTCATTTCGCCAAAACGCCTCACAATGTGAGTGTGAATTGACTAGTGATGGACTTGATTACATCTCTGCACACAACTGTCTGATCCTTGACTTGTGACTTAGATGACTTATAACGACTGGATGATAATTCTCAGTTGACCATTAGTGTGGACAGTAAGGCCCTAAACTGACCTGGTCACAGTAGCGGTCAGCTATCCAGCCGTTGGCACATCCAGCATTACAGTACACTGTGAGGCAAAACAGACAATATCTTAAATAGTAATGCAATATGCAAGCACGTTTGAAATATGCATGCACGTTTGAAGTAGGCATGCATGTTTTACCAGTTGTTGGTCTGAGGCCATAAAAATACAATAATCCGTATCCATTTCCATGAATGAGGAGTGAGATTGTTAATAAATGCAAAATGCACGGAATAATCAGCAGAGGGTTTGAGGATCACCAAGGGCCCCAGAACATTGCAGGGTTTATAGTATGTTTTGGAATTTGCCTAGAGGCACCCCTAAAATACCAATTTATTTTGTTCCATATAAACCTTTATCAGTGAAACACCTTTTCAGTAAAACCTCAGCATTTCCAGAATTCAAAGGGAATCTTTAAAATTCCTGAAATCTAGAATCCTGCCAAAATAATCCTGAAATCAGGGGAAATCCTGACAAAAAATCCTGAAATCAGGAAAAATCCTGACGAAAAATCCTCAAATCAGAAAAAAATCCTGACAAAAAAATCCTCAAATCAGAAAAAATCCAGACAAAAAATCTTCAAATCAGGAAAAATCCGACAAAAAATCCTCAAATCAGGAAAAATCCTGACAAAAAATCCTCAAATCAGGAAAAATCCTGACAAATCTCACCTCTGATGAATAGCCACAACCTTTCACAACAAACATGTTACATCACATTTTACACTCACAGAAACATTGCCAACATTAATCAACCTACATGTAATTCACTAGGGTGATTTACAAGGAACCGTCCTCATCCTTGCAAATCCCAACACTAACTGTGCACTAAACAGACTCCACTAAACCCTTGTGTTGGAGTTTGACTGGATGGGAATTGTTAGGGTTAATTAATGAAAGATTTGCCTTAAGATCCCCAAAATATTTTGTATCAATTGGGTTGATTGCAAAAGTGTAGTACATGCTAACTGTTCACATTTTTTGAAAAGGAATCACAGTTTTTCATTTGATATCCAATGTTGCCTTTTTGAGTTAAGGCAGACACAGTAGGAGGGCGCTATTTCAAGTGGGTACGTTTGGGTAAATACAAAAGAGTTTACGCACTCCAAATAGCGCCCTCGACAACTGAGATTGACAAAAATCAATTTAATACACCATGCTCTGACGTGTCATCAATTTTAAACTTGCGAATCCTTGTTGTTCGGTATGTTAAGCATGGTTCTCCTTAATGCCAAAAAAAAAGTCTCCGGTTTCTGGTATGGAGCTTGCCCCAAAAGTGGTGCGGCAATACAGCTTTCTTTTTTTTTAACTTGTTTTTCCTTCAAATGTCGGCTGATGACTGCAAATGGTGCCCGACTAAATTTAGTGCAAAACGTATGGGAGCCCAGAGAGGCCACGTAAAGCTTATACCCCCATCTAAAAACATGTTAAAATTGTGCAGCAGCAGGATTCCAGTCAAACCAGTGAGTCTGGCGGTTTTGAGACATCATCTTATATTGAATTTTTTTTTTTTAATTTGCCAGCACGCATGGCTACGGGGATGCGCACAGACCAGAAACCAGAGCCTTTTGGGGGGGGGGGGGGGCCTAAAGCAATACGGGCAATTTAAGTAGACCTGTAAACTGATTGGTACTTACGGTCAGGTGCATCATATGATCTATCGCCTACGATTCCGCCTCCCACCGGCCCTGCCTTGGTCACGCCTACAACCCAAACATAAACACCACGTAGCATTATGGTTCATCATCTTAACTCCTTAAAGGGAATGTACATCATTGGCTTTTGCTGTAATTTTCAGAAATGAACTATTTGAGGTGCTAGCATAATAGATGAAATATTGTTAAACTAACATGTTTGAAGTTTTGTGTTCGAAAATGAGTGAAAAACCAAGAAAAACAAAAATGTTCAAATAGTCTGGTTCCCTGACTCCACTAAAGATGAAATGGATCAATTTATAGATGCCGGAAAATTGTAAGGTAAGGAAACCAGTCTAGCTGGCCTGCCTGCACCCGTTCATGAACATGGAACCAATAGCAAACAAAATTTGGACTGAAAAAGGGTACATTTGCAGCAGTAGTTAAAAAATAGTTAGGTTTTTCAACGGTGGTCGGCCGACCACTGTAGGAAATTTATACAAAAATACCACTTTTCTTGAAAATGACTTCACACCAGGTGCCATAATTTTACAGGATGGTTTAGACTGTCATTTACCAACATCCTAGTAAGGTATTTCGTACAAACTTGGTAGTTTTGTTTTTTGATGTTTGCAAATGTTGTATATTCCCTTTAAAGGGACACTGCGTCCTGGAACAGCCCAATTGGGCTACAAAACACGCATTGAACGACACGATGTTAATCGGAAAGAACATTTAAAAGTAGGATATAAACATCCACACAACTATCCTTTCAAAACTGGGCGTTTTTGTGTTATTCCTGTATTATGCGTGCAAAAGCGAATTTCAGGTTCCACTTTTGCGACCCCATAAATTCAGGCTGTTTGGATGCTAGTTGTGATTTCATCTGTAAAGTGTTTGCTTTTTGCGGACATTGAAGAAACCATATTTTTTGCATTGGTGATTGGTCACCGCTCGCTGTTCCCGAGACACAAAACATGTATATCGTACACTGAGAACGACACGAAAAACGTATTCGTACTCCGTAGTGTCCGATGTAAACAACCAGGTTTTTTCTTCTTTTCTCAGGAACAGTAAGACATTAGGTTGGTTTCCTTTAAACCAGATGTTTGAAATAGGCTAAGTCAACAATCCAAAACATGACATTTTCGGGGATTTCAGGACCTAGTACCCCTTTAATTGCAGAATTAACAGCTTCACTTGAAACAATGCACCGTCATGTTTGAGTCCATATATCAAACTCTTTGTTCTTTTGTTGGAATACATGTAGGCCGTTTGATCCTTGAGAACTAAAAAACTGAACACAGGGTTCCCAGCACTTAATGAAAATGAGTTTTCTCTGATATTTCACTGAGAATTTTCCAAAAATCCGTGAGAAATATTTTTCACTTTAACAAGTTGCCGGGAAGTCAAGAGGTGGTTTGAGCAAAGCAACTAAGATACTGATAACACACAGGCAACTTGTTGACGAGCGATGGCCTTCCTTCTCCCCTCATAACTACCCTTCCAACACACGCCAAACTGGCGAAAACCTCTCCCTTCTGGGTAACTGTCAAATGCACTGCCTTTCCTTGATTTTTGGTCAAACTAGGTTTTGTCCTTACACCGACGTATAAACACTGTATACTCAGTGTGTTACCTCCCGAGTGAAAATTGGAAAAAATCACTCGGGTGGGACTCGAACCCACAACCTCCTGCTTTCTAGCACAGACGTCTTACCACTCGACCACCGAGCTAACGGGATCGGTTGGCTGGTTCGAATCTGATGTACATAGCAGCGGGTACCGCATTCACTATTCATTAGATGGAATTTTTTAAGATGGAGTTTTCCCTCAAGGGACCAATGAAAACCCATCTTCAAGGTTTTCCTTGATTTCCAGAGAAGTTGGGAACCCTGTAAACAGAGCATTGGCAGTTAAAAATCACCATTATGACAAAAACAATTTGTGGAGTCTGTTCTAATGTAATTCGGGCGATTCACAATGCAGTGCGCCACCAAGAGGTTGCCACGGAGGGTTCAATTTTCCCAGTGCATTGTGGGAGACGGTCAACAAATTCGCAGCGCGGGACATTTGAAATTGTTAGTTTTTTTCCGGGCAGTAGTTTCGTAAGCGTATGATTCGAGTATACATGTATGTTTGCCCTTTTCTTTTTATCAATATGGTGTTTTTTGTAAGGTGGCGGAACGCTATGCCCCAATCTATAACAAATTAGCTCAAGTCCTCTACTGACACTCATTCAAATGGACCGTGTTTTGTTGACCGTAAACTTGAAAAACGGACTCTCTGTGGCAAACTCTTGGTGGCGCACTGCATTGCAAATCGCCCAAATTCTCACCATCACAATCCCCGCCGTCCCAATCACACTCTGAATTGTTGCACGCTGTGTCGCAGTAATTGTCTCGTATCCACGAAGGCGGACACCCCTCAGCACAGTTTGGAACAGGCCAGGTCAGGTAGATCTGGAGGGATGACATCACAGGTCACATGATAAAAATATACAAAGCCTGTCCATCAATGGGCTCCGTGCACACTGCACAAGTACCCCCTCAATGGTAAGAAAGGGAGAGTTGGGCAAGACCACTGGGAGAGACATTTGAACACTTTCCTTCTTTCTTTTCTGTTCAAATTTTCTTCAGGAGAGCTGTTATTGTCTGCCCTTAGTTTAGATGTGGGTGGTAGCCTAGTGATTTCTTGATTACAATTTACCCAAGGTACAATGTATGCCCAAACAGTTTAAAACTGGTTTCCATTGGGGCCCTGCATACACTACAAGTGACTACACATATGTGATGCGATCAAGCTACATGAGTCGTTTGTTGGGAATTTTCATTTGGAGATACAGGCCAAAATAGGGCCACTTCATCACATCACTTCATCACATTTCTTGGTGTCTTGACTTCCATAATTTTTTAACTAAAGATGGTATCAGCATGCGGTTTTCACAGTAGTAATGCTGAGATTGTGTTCTTTTCAAATAATTTTGACTGGGGTCGACAAACGACTCATTTAGCTTGATCGCTTCACACATGTACAAATACAATACATTACAAGTACAGTACAACACAATGAAATAAAACAACAGCATATGGGATTACTGCATGATTGTCAAGCAACTATTATAATATTGTACAACTATTACAAAGAAACATGTACAGTATTTGAAACGACATCGCTAACAGACTCCTGATGGCCTAAGGTGAATTAGGTAAACACGAAGAGTTTGGACATTTCTTGTGACATCGGGAAAATATATTTCTATACATTTGCTGATTACGAGAGGGGCGAATAACCTGTGAAAACCCCTTTTGGGAGAAAAAACGAGAAAATTCCCATCCGGCGCCTTATTATCATGGCAGCCAAGTTTGTTAACTCCGAAAGTCAGCACAGACTTATATTTGTATAATCAGTGAAGGCAGCGACAAAAATAAATTCTCACATAAATGGTTAGGGTTCATGATTCATGATCAGAGGGTCAGGGGTTCGAATCAAGCTGCTGGTCATATGTTGTGTCCTTGGGCAAGCCACTTCACCCCCACTTGCCTCTCTCCACCCAGGAGTGTGAATAGGTACCAGCATTATTTGGGGAGTAACCTGTGGACAAGCATCCCGTCCAGGGGGAATACAAATATTCTCAGTTGTTTCATGCTACTGAAACTGGAGATAAATGCCGGCCTGGTAGGCCATATTGGCTCATGACAGACATTACTTATTTTAGATTTCATTTTCACACACTTGTGCACTTGCAGACATATTTTTTTCATACCTTCTGTCCACTGGAGTGAGTGTAGAAATCGTCCGGCCAGATCGGCACGCCAAACATGGTGTCGTCGTTCAGGTAGATGAACTTGTCCGACAGGCCTGGGATCCGATGGAGGTTGCTCTCAATAGCCGGGGAGCTGAACGTTGGAAGGTGGCTCTTGTTGGGGAAAATATCCTGGAAGTTACATGAAAAAGGAAAATGTTCACTTCAAAGTTATGATATAGTTGGAAATAAGACACAAAAGGTGAGCCGACAAAAATTTACTAGCCACTGACTTGATGAGACTTGAACATTGTGATGGTTTTGTTATAGGACGTGTTATGGAGTTGTGATGGACTTGTGACTTCTAATGATTTACTTGTGATGAACTTGTCACCAATTCATGATGGACTTGTGATGGTCTTGTGATGGACTTGTAATGGACTGGTGATGGAATTGTGATTTCTTGTGATTTCTTGTGATGGACTTGTGATGGACTGCACTTAATCTTGAATCGTCAAAAATGCATGGTTTTCATGGCAACATCAGTCGTCAAGACAACTCGTTTTCTCACCTCGTGCGTAACCAGGGAGACGCGTGGATTGTCCAGATTTAGCCAGGATGGGATCTGGCCGTTGGTGACGATGTAAACGTGGCGTATCCACGGCGCGTTCTGCTCCAAGGAACGTAACGAGTACCTCATCTCCTATACGTGGAAACGAGAACATATTGTGATAAGATAGGGGTAATGACTGGGAAGAAGTCTGTTTCTTTGATCGATAGGCCTAAAGATGAGGTAATTGTTTTGTTGATCTTAAGGATGAAATAACGGGTAGCCCTCAATGTGCTCTAGGGGCTTACGTGAATTCATCGTTTTAGCTTATGGACCGAGGAGACTGGCAGCAAGTCTATGCGGTAATGGCCAAGCTGCAGTGCGATCATTGCTGCTACTAGGCGGGGATTCTGCCCATGCTTCGCTGTCGCGCTCGCGGTATAAAATCGCGGTGTGCGGGGCAAAAATTCAGTCTGAGTTCTGAGTGCTGGTTCTGTCAGGAAGTGCATCAGAAATTTACGGTTACTTCGCAGTCAAAAGTTAGTTTGTGCATGTGCCTCGGTGTGTTTCCAGCGCAAGTCAAATACACCTTGATTTATTGTTTCTGGACATCCATGTTAGATGACGACTGCGGCTGCATGTAAAAATGCTACCATTATAGAACGCCTTGCGTTTCGTAAAATGGGGAAAAAATACACCTTGGCCAATATATTAAGTGGAGGTAAAATACACCTTGATTTATTGTCCCAGGAAGTCAAATACACCTTGATTTATTGTCTCAGGAAGTCTAATACACCTTGGTTTATTGTCTCAGGAAGTCCAATACACCTTGCTACAGAAAACAGGACGTATAAACTCCTTGACCAGAATAAAAGACCTGACCTCATTGTCTTCGAAACGGCTCTTGGAGACGTCCTCCTCGTGGTTGGGCTTGTCCTGCTCCAAGCCCCACAGGAGGTAGGCGGAGCCAACTTTCATTCCCTCCTCCCCTTCACTTTTCTCAAACTAAGACAAAAAGAAATAAACAACATACATTCGTCTTCAGAAAATAAGACTGTGATTGTTTTACGACATTGGTTTGATGGAGAATTAGACCTTGCGATTGGACATGCTCAATTGATTTAATTCGCTTCAATGTTCATTTCGAATAATTTAGTATTCGATTTAATGCTCGAAACTGCATTGGACAGATATATCAGACATTTAGATATTCGCAAACTGCCAGCTGCAACTGCGCCGGTGAAAAGAGAAAGAATTCCATACATGGACATCACTCATTTTTCCCTGCAGTGACCCATCAGCCATCAGAAAGCGATAACATGTCCTAAAAAGTCAAATTTAGCAGGGAAAATGATGAAACATTTACTGAGAAAACATTTGGATTTTTTTTCAGACCAGTCTCATACTAGGGTTTGTGCACAGGGTGTCAAGTGATGTCCAGGTATGGAACTCTTTTTCGAAAAAAGTTGCACAAAGAGCGTGCTGGATAAAATTTGCGTGCGGCGATCGATATGGGGCACTGGAGTGTTTTAAAGTAGGTATTTATAACTGTAAATAGCCTTTAACCTGCTAAAAGGATGTGAACAATGAACCGCCATTGCCAAAAAAGCTGCAACTTTAACATCACAGTTGTGTGTGTAGGTGCCTATATTGTTTCTTTGGAATATTAAAAAAAGCAAGCTATCAGAACATTCGGTTGATGACCGAATTATACGACTTTTCGGTAATCGGGACAGCCCTAGTATACTTGGAATCAGTGTTCTAGCCAGGGTGAAATTATAGCGTAGGGGTAATTTTGGTTCAGCGACTAATGCGAGCGCGGAGCGCGAAGCAATTACGGCGTGGGGTCCGGGGCCCGCTTAAGGGCCCCGAAAAATTTTGGACTCTAGATGCTCTGTGGTGCAATCTGAGGCGATTCCCTGCCACTTTCCCCTGATTTTTTTTTAGCAGAAGTGTTTAAAATTATAAGAATTTTGTTTTATTTGTTTCAATGATTAATACTCTTGCTCCTGTAAAGTTTCTTCTGTTTTCAATTTTAGATTACGTTTACAATGTATAAGTTGTTCCAAGATCGATGTTTTCTGATGTTTAACCACTTTTAGTAGTTCCTCAATGTTTTATAAAAAATTGGGATTTACTTTGTCAAATAAGTTTGAGAACAAATCGCATTAACATTTCATATTTCAAGAAGCCTTGTGTTGTGTAGCGCTGCCGTAGTAGCAGTAGTTCCGATTTTAAAACCATCCGATCGGCAGGGAGAGAAATTGTAAAACCATGGAGGTCTCAGACATAAAAAGTCGTCGGCGATTGCAATTTCAATATGCTACAACACAATGTGAAGGAGAAATCTCATTTTTTGTTCTGTTAAAAAATATAATTGTAGATAATGACGATGAGAAATAAATCACCGGGAATTGCTTCCTATCCCGGCCGCGGCAGGCCCCGGCCGGCCCGGCGTGCGGGCGCGGCGCAGGCCAGCCCCCACCGGCTACGCCGGCGAACTACGCGACCAAATTTCCCTCAGCATTTGAGAAAGCTACGCATTCGTGGAGCGCTAAAAACTTGTTTTGTTGCAATACTTGCTGATTGGTTTTGTCCTAAGAACAAACAGATCCGTTTTTACTACCAAACTTATTGAACTGTTATCAGCAACGAGTAGTGTAGTCAAAAATCCAAATTTTCGACAGCGACATTCTTCGAGAAGATTTCTTCACGTGCGGCCATCTTTGGGGACGGATCCATTGATATCGTAGGGGTGCTTAACCTTTCTTTGGACATCGTTTCTCGAATAAATCCTTTACGAAAATTATGTTCCAACGTTGAAGGACTTATTTTCAAACAGTTATATGTTTCGGACTTGATAAAAAGTATTATTTATAATTTTAAAACAGTTGAAATGCTTGTAAATATTGAACTTAGGAAAGCACACCCGGCGATAGCGCAAAATGGTGTGGTCCACTACGTCCGTACGGAGCGCTGTATCTACGCAGCACAAAACAGCACGTGCTTATTGCTATCATAGCGAATGCGTGTGGCGCAGTATATCGTACGGGGTACGTGCGGTGGGATCGTCGTTTATTTTTCGCTGTGTCGTACGGCCAGTGCGCAATGCTCAAAGTCGCTGCGCTTGTATACGAACAAACGGCAGATATTTTTTTTCACAACCAAAATTTATAGCGTAGCGGTAGCGTAGCGGCGCGATTTAAGCGTAGCGCTTATTTCCGAAAGCGTAGCGGGTGCTAGCGCTATTTGATGCCTGGCTAGAACACTACTTGGAATGTCCCGGGTCTAATTGCCAAAGTTCCCAAGACTGGATTTTATTCATCTTGTTAACAGCGCCCTTTATTAGCTTGATTGAGCTTGCCAGGGAGCTTGCCAGGGAACGGGACTAAAATCCCAAATCCAGTCTTGGACTGAGACTAACAACAAGTCTGCTTCTCTCACCTCCGTAATAAACGTCTTGGTCACGTCAGCCGTTTTCAACGTGATGACCGCGACCCCGGCGCTGGAGGTCAGGTCGATGCGTTTGACGTTCTCTCGCTGTTCCTCGGGAATTTTGCCCCTCAGTTGCTCCTCTGTCACATTTTTGCCGACGTTGGAGATGAAGGCGAGGTCCTTCAACTCAACACCACCCTCAGCATGCCAGTCACTCGTCTGTGTACGCAAAAACGACACAAAATGTTATTTGCAACAAAACAATCTGCTATTTTACGTTTCAACAGTGTTTAGTATCTTGAAAAGTTTCTTTGAATCAAAAAAAATATGAGTCTTCAGAAAAATAAGGCATTAGTACTTACTAAATATCCCCTGGAGAGAGAGACGTTTTTTCCTTGGTAAATAACAAATGGCTTCTCTTTCATGATTGTGTCAACTGCAAAAACAAATGAAACTCATACTAATGTTATTGGCACAAGGGAGAGAACAAGAATGTGTGAAAAGAGATGAATTTTGCAGAAGCCAATCTGCAAGTTGACTAGAAAGCCAGCCAGCCAGTCTGACTCTGACAGCCATCCATCAAACATGCCAGCCAGCCGACTAGCCAGCCAGTTGACTAGCCAGCCAGCTGACTAGCCAGCCAGCCGACTAACCAGCCAGCTGACTAGTTGTCAACCCTGATAGCCATCCATCCAGCAAGCCAGCCAGCCGACTAGCCAGCCAGCCAGCCATCTAGCCAGCCAGCCAACTAGCCAGCCAGCCGACTAGCCAGCCAGCTGACTAGCCAGCCAGCCGACTAGCTAGCCAGCCGACTAGCCAGCCAGTCGACTAGTCAGCCAGCCGACTAGCCAGCCAGCTGACAAGACGGGGAGTCAGCCAGTAAGCAAGCCAGCCATCTTGCCTGCCAGCCAGCCAGTTGTCAACCCTGACAGCCATCCGGGGAGTAAGCCAGCCAGTCGGCCAGACAACCAGCCAGCAAGCAAGCAAGCCAGCAAAGGCCAAGTTCGGGCAAGGACCATTAGTCGACTAGTGGTTGATTTGTGACGTACCTTACGCCTGCGCACAGGTAGCAACGTGCGAACGTCTCTAGTCAAACGCTGGTCAAAATGTCATCGCAAAACATCTGGATCCTGGCTCTCTGCTAGCGCTATGAATGCGCGCGGCTATTGGTTACCAGCGAAGCAACCAACCCCAGTAGGCTGGTTCCAAATAGTCGACTAGCGTAGACAACCATCGTCGACTAGACAGAGTTCGGGCAAACGTTAGTTAACCATTGGTCAACTATAGTCCTTGCGTGAACTTGGCCTAACCAGCTGGTTCTCCAGGGAGCCAGCCGGCTGGCAGCCAGCCAGCCCGCTAGCCAGCCAGCTGGCCAGCCAGCTGGCCAGCCAGCTGGCCAGCCAGCAAACCAGACAACCACTCAGCCGGCCAGCTAGCTGGCTAGCCAGCCAGCAAACCAGACAACCACTCAGCCGGCCATCCAGCCAGCCAGCCAGCAAACCAGCCGGGGAGCTAGCCAGCCAACTAGCTGGCCAGCCAGCAAACCAGCCAGCCAGCCATTTGAAAAACAAAACAATCACATCATCCCCACAACTCACCCACAGACTGCTTTTCAAACTGGGCCACCGTGATATTCTCCCGACTCGACTTGGTCAAATTGAACACCCTATCTTCCTCGAGAAAACCAATATGGCTCTGCGCCAAGTCTTCCTTTTCTAAGCTGCCAGGCAGTGCCGTGCTGAAGACAATCATCTGACCAGGAATACAGTTGTCATCCTTGCACTGAAGTAATTTTTTCTCATCTTCTTCAGGTTCCCTGCGATAAGCAAAAGTACTGGTTAAGCTTAGCCACATTTTGAAAGCTGATTGGAAGGCTACCATAAGCAGAATGCACATAGCGTTTTTGCAATAGCCTTTCCGCTTAGCACATACATCGTCTGGTGCTTACTCAATTCAACAAGACGGGACAAGCCTAGTATTATAAAAGCTGCCCCAGACAAACAGGCTCTGAGGGGTCTATGTAGTCTACAGAATAATGTCTGAGCCAATGGGAGACTTGCACAAGTCTACTTCACCAGAGACAGTGAGTGAGTCAGTGAGATACATGGTGAGTCAAAAAAAGCAGAACCCAAACCCCCAAAAATATATTTCATATTTAAAAAATATGTAGCACCAAAAACAATACTGGCTGGAAAGCCAATTTCATAAGCAATTTTTAGCTGAAAAAAATGACTAAAATTGCTCAATCCATTTAAAGAATATCACCATTTAAAAGCAATGACCTTAAAACCTGTTTTCGTCTAAAAAAAAAATTAAAACAAATATATTGTGTATTCTGACTGCTTGGAACAACAAAGCAAATGACACAGAATACTTGTTTTAACAAATGACAACATCTGTAGTACACAATATCTTTATTAAAAACCCTTAGGCAAACAATCTGATTTATAAAATCCACTCTTTTTTTTAAAGACGGGCCTTTAAAAGGATTTTGTTGAACATTTTTAACTTTTAAACTGAGGTTTTATCGCTGCTGATGTTTGAAGGCAGTTGTGACGCATTTTTGGACGAAAGAGGTTTTAGGGTCATTGTGTTTAAATGGTGATATTCTTTGAACGGATTGAGCAATTTCAGTAATTACTTTCATCTAAAAGTAGCTTATGAAATTGGCTTTCCAGTCATTAATATTTTTGGTGCTAAGCTAAATATGCTAAATATTTTTTTAAATATGAAATACAATTTTGGGGTTTGGGTTCCACTTTTTTACTCACCCTATAACATGTAGGTAAACAGACAAAACTGCATCAAAATGGACGCTTAACCCTTACCCAACTGGACCCTCCAACGCATGCCATTATGTGCCTTAAGAAAATGGCATATGTTTTTTGCACGGCCCTCCAATATCTGCCATGTCATTTCAAGGGTAACTGGACAGGCACTCCAATACATGCCACAGAGAACAATGAGAGTCCTCTGATAACAAAGTGAGTGCCCCCAGCTGGTCAGTATCAGGCACCCTCCAGGGCCTCCAACTCCTGCCAATTGGAGCCTTCACTGTTAAGACAAACTATCTGCCAATAAACTGCAGCTAGAGGGCATTGGCATAACCAACTGACATGCAGTAAACTACCCTCAGAGAGTAAGGGTTAATGAAAGACAGGAACACTATACTCACTTCTTAGTGTCTTTTTCCAGCTTTTCTTTGATGCGTTGCAGATCTGCGATAAGTTTCGGGTCCGACCCGTTGACCCACGTGTAGACTGCGTCGATAGGGATGGGCAGACACATTCTGTAGAAAGGTCACAAGTTAACGGTTTATTTAGTTCTCTAACCAAGTTAACTGGTTAGCTAGTGATTGTGATTGCTGTGGTTGGTTTAAATACTTTACATTATTCACTTATCCACATTTCTTGCAAATTTTTTTTTACCAAACTTTGGAGGATTTACAAATGTACGGAAAGATTTCCATATACGAAGTTCACTCAACACCCTGTGTACAAACCCTATGAGATTGGACTGAAAAATTCTAAGTGTTTTCTAAGAAAATGCTTGTATTTTCTCACTGCTCATATTGACTTTGATGACATGATATTGCTATCTGGGGACTTGTTAGTCAATACAGAGGAAAATTAGTGAACTTCGCATATGGTAATCTTGCCAAATGTACTTATCCAAACTATCTACTAGTAACTGAGCTGATTTGGTAGTACGAATACTACTAACCAGATCAAACACCGATGCAGTAGTGATTGTGATTTCTTTGGTTGGTTCACTCACACTCACGGCAAGTACATTGCCTTTTCAACTGATCTTGTTTTTTGGGGGTTTTACTCAAGCTAACTATGAAGTTAACCGAGTTAACTGATCTAATAAAAACACTGTGAAAGGTTGAATTACTTTTAGCTCAATCACATTTATGTCTATTTTAAGTTTATAGTATCTGTGGTCTGGTAGTGGGTTTACTCCGGACAACTGAACTAACTTGCAATTTTATAATCACTGTGGTTGGTTTACTAAGGCAAAGTGTTCGCACAACCAATTTATATCTTGTTTAAAATTTCTGTAGTTGGAAAACATGTATTCCAGCGAACTGGTAAAATCAACACAGTTTACTGAACCACATGTAAATACACAATGTTGGCATGATGTTAAGTCCAAATAGCCAAGTTTCCAACTTGTAAGGTAAGCAAAAGCCAAAATATTTTAAACAAATCTGGTTTCCCTAGCTTGACTCTAGGGCTGTCCGGAATATATCGAATATTCAGATAGCTTTTTGCCTATTTAAATATTCGAAAAACAAAATAAATTATTTATTTTAGTGTAAACTTGCGGCGCCTTATTGTCAGGTGCCACTTTTTTGTTGACGGTAACTTTTCTGTCAACGGTCCTTTTATAGAATACTTTACTGCAAAATACTCCAGCGCCCCATATCGATCACCGGACACCAATTTTAACTGGCACACTCTTTGAGCAACATTTTACCGGCGCAGCACGCAGTTGTCCATGTAGCTGACACTCCTGATAGTTTTGAATATTCGAATATTTGGTCAACTAAGTTTTAGAATACTAACCAATTCAAAACTGGACAGCCCTACCTGAATCCTACCAAGGCCAGAAAAATTCTTAACTCTTTCAGTGCCAAAAACGTACATGTATATTTGTTAGTTCGACAGTGCCAAGCTCGTACATGTACATGTACCAGGTAATGTTCGTACTTAAAATCGCCAAACCTCGTACTTGTATGAGGTAGAGTAAGCATGTTATCACAAGGGGGCGCTCTCTTTCTAATAGTATCATTTTCATTCAGGTACAACCTGTATTTATTTGTTTCATTCGAGTTCTTGCGAGAGGGTGCAGCACTGACACTCGTATTTTCTGCAAAAAGTGCGGAATTCCCCTGTGTGCAGGACAGTGTTTCTACATGTAGGTGTATCACTATCTACATGTACAATGTACGTGACTACTATTGACTTTCCAATATATCAAGGATTTACCAGAGAGCAAACACAACAAATTTAGTGAGTAAAACGTATTTACTTCTTATTTTTACAGAATTTTGAACAATTACAAAAAACGCTCGAAGTTAGACACTTTAGGGTTAAACTTTTCACATTTCGCGGGCACTCATAGATCTCATAACAAAGAACTGAATGTACAGTACATTTACCTGTTCTGGAAGGCTTTTCCTGCGATGTTGTCATGATAAATGTTGAAAAGCTGTGAATACTGATCTCTGCTCCACTCCAAGGAAGACTGTAAACCCAAAGATATTAATTGAAACAATTGATTGGCATATTACCAGGAAACATGATTTCCAACTGCCATCTTCAGCCTCATGTAATTACAGAAACGTTTGGTTCCCTAACGTAATTCAATGTAATGTAAGGATTTTGGCTGTAGCCTACATGTACTACGGCAAAAATAACATCATTCGTAATATTTTAACCAAGCAATATTTTTCCCACAGTAAACATAAGGAAAAAATGTTGCAACTTTTTTCTTTGTATCATCTCAATGAAGGTCATTCATTGCAAAAATGATGTTAAGACATGAATCTGGCACTGAGAAATATTACCAATTGTGTTAGTCCAAGTAACTTGGACCCAACTTATCACCTTTTTAACATTCCGACATGGTTTGGCGATAGGGTCCAAGCTAAACCGCATCAATCGGTCGAAACAATTTTGCTCTTGACCCAAAAACCCATCATTGCCCAACAAAAATATCAGATTTCACCCTCAAAATGGCCTACAAATTACTAGATACGCCACCTGAGGTACTAGTAGACATCGATGATTAAGATGGTTGTACTGAAGTTTACTTACGATCCGGATGAAACGTGAAAATTCCCGTTCAATTCCGAGAGCTCCCCTTGCGATCGTGAACACATCAAATTTCCGACTCGTGTTTGAACGATTGTGATGTGGTCATGCCAAGCGTACATTTGATGGTCCCCGTATCCCGAGTGCGATTCCGTTACCGAGCGCGATGTATCGATTATGATCATGAGTACACTGGATCTCGTTTGTAAACACAAGTACATTTCAAACGATAATAGGGAGTCGGGAACTAGGGCAGCTTTTATGGGTGGAAACCAGTTCAAGCTAGTTCCCGACTACTCACTTTTGCCGTTCGAAATGCACTTGTGTTTACAAATGTGATTCAGTCTTCACATTATCATAATCAATGCATCGCGCTCGGTAACGGAATCGCACTCGGAATACAGGACCATCGAATGAATGCTGGGCATGACCACATCGCATTGTTTAAACACGAGGCAGAAATTTAACGTGTCTCGCTCGCGAGGGGAGCTCTCGGAATTGAACGGGAAATTACACTTTTCATCCGGATTGTGAGTAAACTTTAGAACGCCGCAGCACCTTGTAAACCATTATAAGGTGCTACATAATGGGTCTCATATTTCTCATAAACTTTGTTCACCTTTGTTTAATAATTGACATAATTTCCAGCGCCTTGAGTACCTAATTGTTGGTAGATACGTGCGCTATATAAGACTCCGTTATTATTAATCATCGATCTCTTCTTAAGTTGGACCGCAGGCAGTGGCAGGTGGCGTATTTACATGTAGTTATTTGGAGGCCGTTTTGAGGGTGAAATCTGATGTTCTTGTTGAGCAACGTTGGGTTTTTGGGTCAATGACAAAATTGTGTCGACCGATTGATGCAGTTTAGCTTGAACGCTACTATTGCCAGACCATGTCCGAATGTTAAAAAGGTGATAAGTTGGGTCCAAGTTACTCGGACTACAGTTTTGTTAGGAAATACATTGTACTTTGTGGGCCTAGGCCCCTACTTAGAAAATGTTCTTGACTCTCCATAGACTTTGTACACAATCATGACAATTGCGGAAGTGGCGTCAGGTTGACCTCAGTGGGGTCGTCATGTTGTGTACTTCTAGAATTAGAAGGCTTCTCTCCGCAGACAGAGAGAAGCCTTCTAATTCTAGAAGTACATGTTGTGCATCTCTACTACATACATACACATAGACAGTATGGCGATCGTGTAGTGTAGGGCCAGGTTCCTAAGGGAACAAAGTCCACTTTAAAATTATTGGACATACCAAACTAGTTGGCGACATTCTCAATAAACAGGTACATGTATGTCAATTGTCATAGATAGAGGGCAGGGTTTTGATTTTTTTAGGGAAATTTAGGGGTAAAATGACGATGATAGTGCGGCGACAACACGCGACCCGAAAATAAAGATGGCGATCACCGCACAATGTTCCGTGAGCACGCACGGCGAGCTGAAACGCAAGGCACAAACCGCGCAGGAAAATCGTGATTTCTACCCCAAGAATCTGTTCAAAATTGCAAAAAGGGTGTCATTAGAATTGAGAAAAGTCTGATTTTGATTGTAACTGTGATTTTTGAGCAATAAAAAACATTTTTGACTTTAATTTGGGAGTAATTGTAGAATACCCTGCCACTCCGAAATACACCCCTAAAAAGTAAAATCTCTGGCTACGGGGTTGGAATCACTGGAAAAGAAACAATTCAAGTCCATTGCTAGCTAAGCCGATACTGAGTGGGGGTCTCCTTGAGAACAAAGCAACACAAAATGAATGGGACTGGGACTGTGGGAGTTGCTGAACAATTTTAAGTCTAAACCAACTACCCTGTTGCCGGCTACGCGGATACGGAGTGGGAGTCCATGTGCTTGAGAATGAAGCAACACAAAAGGAATGGGAGTTGCTGAAAAATTCCAAGTCCAAACCAACTACCCCCTGTAGGCGCTGTAGGCTATGTTGCTGGTTACGCGGATATGGAGTGGGAATGCAGTGGAGCATAACGTGTACTGTGCAGGCCTAGCGCTGAGGTTTATTTATTGAGGGCAATCAACCACGAGCTAGACGAGGTGCATAGGTCGAGTGGCGGGATATTCTGCAATTGTGCCCTAATTGGATCAAAACAAAACAGGGGCCCTACAGTACTTCACGATCGCCGACAGATCATATGACAGAGTAGGCCCCTAGTGCCTATTCATATTCATAAAAAAGTTTAACTTGAAAATGAAATGGCGTGGACTACGTTACCTCTCCAAAATGAATCGCAGAAAGTATAACAATAATAAGTCCGATGAAAATCAAAATCACCCCATGACGGTGGGATAAAAATGTGTAGGTCTGTTTCTGTACAAGCTTGTACATTCTGAATGAAAAACACCTCAGAATTGTGGAAGAATTTCGCTCGAAAGTTTCTTTTACACGTTGGCGAAATTGACACGGTCCATGGAGAACGCCATGTTTTAGATGGTATCCTTATCCTGTCCATTATTAGTTATTTGTGGATGAGTACCAGGGACGTTCTTACTCTCAATTGAGGGCGCTGTGCTACCAAAACGGAAAATGTTCCATGCGTCGTCTGCTCAACGAAGCTAGTATAGCCGCAAGGGCATTGTGCCTCTCAAAATTTAAAAGCAAATAGGATCATATATTATATTTTCATGCATTTTGTTCGTTTCCAATAAAAACACAAAAAACACAACTTAAAATACAAAGAAGAATGTTCACAGCCTAACCTAGCTAATGAATATAGTGGCAGCCTAGTGGCTTAAGGGAAATTGTGACACTGCCGGGTTGAAAAGCAACCTACTGAAAGTGAAACTGTTCAAAAATAGTAAAAAAAATAATAATAATTGCTCAACGAAATTGTGGAGTTTATTCCATTTCCCCAAATACATTAGTATTGGGCACTATTAAAAACAAATCTGTTTTGCGACATTACTCTTGGAGAAAAAAATACCTTTGTTTTATTTCCATTTTTGCTGTGGTGTGTGAATAAATATACAAGCATAAATAATGCTCTTACGTACTTCAATGATTAATTATCTTAATTAAGTTGGTTTGCTTCAAATGCTTATTTAAAGATGGTTATGTCTGCATATGTATACACATCACAATTAACTCACAAGGCATGAAGGTGACGATCGATTTCAAGTATTTTTTCTCTTTCTGAAACTGTTGCAGACCAGTTTAATAGCAATTTGGTCTCGAAGACGTGCGTAGTATAACCTTGTGTATTTGGATGAGAAAGTTCAGTACATTCCAATGCCTATACACTAGGCTCTTGAATTTTTTGTTCTTGATCATATGTTTTTATTTTCTGATTTACATTATAAAGGGTGGTCCCCCCCCAAAAAAAAATGGAATGGCATACTTCCACTACCCTGAGACTCAAACCACATACATTGTACCAATGCATGGAGAATCTTTTTAGAAGAAAAATGAAACAAATGTCGTGCGATTCGGTCCAGTAGTTTTCATTCTACAGACTATTTTGTGAAGCAACGTAGGGGTCATTTTTGTCCCGATGAAATTGAACCACGCCCGGGAATTTGTAATTGATGGGGGGATTGTATAATAGCTTGATATCGTGCTACAAAATTATTGTGACAGAGATGACCACAAATGCAGGGACACGTTTTTACCCTATAAAAAGCTCAGATGTCGTGCAAATATGGTTTAATTTATGCAACTCGTAATTTCACATTTGGAAGAGACTAATATTACTTGGGTTTTGGTGGTATCCTCACCCTTTCAAGTTGCTTTCAAGTTGCAAATTATGGCCGTAGGTACATTTTGAGGAATACATCGGGACATGTGTTTTGAGTGGGTTTTTTTTAGGGAGTATTGTTAAGAATGAGCATATAATCAGAATGATGTTAAATTTAATGTTACCGCTTAAAAATGAAATTTTCATTCTATATTTTTGCGATTTATAGTGCCTTAAAGTGTCGACGTCGGGACATAAAAGTAGACGCTTACTGAAGAATGACCCAGATAGCAGCGCTCGTGGGGGAAAAGCCGCTTGTGGAAAGGGACTATATAGCACATTTCCAATGGGGGAGCGACTGTTTTACACTGAAAAATTGCCTGGGTTAATTTTACCCTAGAATGGGTGAAAACTGCAACTTCCCAAACTTGGGTTGTTCTGTAACCACTTGTTTGGGTTAATTTAATTTGGTCTTGTATGACTTCAACTTTCAGTTGAATTTAACATAAATTCTAAACAATTGGTTATAGAACAACCCAAGTTTGGGTAGTTGCAGTTTTCAGCCTTTCTTGGGTAAAATTAACCCCGGCAATTTTTAGTGTACTTTTTAATGGAAGTAATGTCACCTTTATTAGTCATGGCCCTGAGAGATTCTTTCAAAGGAAGTGTTTCCAGGAAGTTTTGAACCACAACGTGACGGGCTACCGTATAACATTATGAAAGTGATCCAAATTTCGGGGCGATACTCCGGAAGTTACGCAGTATTTAGTCATTGCTATCACGAGAATATCGATTAGCACCATTCGGGAATTTTCCAGACACTGTTATTTAACCAATGAAAAGGATGCTCGGTGAGAAACAATAAACAGTTTATCTCTGTGCTGCTTTTATTTCGTTCAGAGCTGAGGATGAAATCTAATTCCATTTGGGCGAAACTAAAATTTGCAATTTACAAAGCTCTCAAAACAGGAAACAAAACTGACAAAATGTCCTCTTGAATTGAATTACAAATAATTGTTCTGACGCAGATGAGGGTTGTTCGTCTTCGACCTGGTAACGTGCAGTTTCGGTTCTGATGAATTGCGGTGGACTGCACGGGTGTCGCAGTGTGTCGAGACATGCGCAATGGAGCCAGTTTTAAACAGTTCGCACACTCTGATTGGATGATAGATCGCGTCACTCTACACTGGCTGGTAAACGAAAGATGATTGGTCAATAGTTTCGGAGCTCAGCGCCAAGGGTCGATTTATCGAGGTTGCACGCGTTGAATTCATTCGTGGAGTGGAGCAAAGACATTTCAGGCCTACAGCCACAAATTCTCAGTTTCTATGTGTTATTTGTCGTCGAAAGCCACAGAAAAAGAGCTCTGTTGTTAAAAGAGCTAATCATAGTACGATTCGGCAGCTTGAGGTTCATTTCAAGGATTTCTACAAAGTTGAAGGTTTCTGTGGTTTGAGAAAGTATCGATTCGAGTGTATTTAAGGAGACGGGATCTTCAGCGCCGGAAGAAACTCATCATGCTGCTGGAAGCCAAGACTAGACACACTGTTGACGCATGCTCGTGCCGGAAATCTTGGTCTGCTTGACATAGACAGTTGAGGTACACCAACATTTTATTCTGCATTATGTTTATGTTTGATGAATTTCTGATCAGTAGAACTTATGGTGCCTAGTCTTTTTTTCATTGAAAACTGACATCCAGTGAACATACAATCGTTCAATGATCCTAAGTCATTCACGACACTGATGATTTTGAATCAGTGGTTTCATGAAAGGTTTGAACTTGCATTACTCGTCTCAATTCCTTCATTCACTGTGTCTTTAGTGCGTCTTGAATATTTACACATTAAAAAAAGAGACATTCACTTCTCAGTTCTTTTCTTGCACGTCTTAAAATTCGTTCAGTTTTTGTATCTTTGATTCAGTGCGTTAACAAGTCTGCAGGTTAAATGTTCGAAGTGCTTGTTCCACTGTAGTAGCCGAGCCCATCAAGAGTATCCACAAGTCTATCACAAGTCCAAGTCTCAATTATAGACAAACGCTGTTCAAATGAATTAACCATGGTAAAGGTATTTTTTTGTGATTTACTTTTAACCGAACTTGTGACGAACTCCATTACAACACTGATCTCCCATTCCTTTTTTCTTCCTGTTTTTCCCCTTCAGATAATGCAAGTAATACTGTTCTTCGTCGTTGCCACCCTGTGCCTGTCCCTTACCTACTCGGTCAAGATCGGGAAGTTCGAACCCCGTTGCCCACCGGGTAGTTTTAGGAACGCCGTGAGCGGTCTGTGTCAGGTCTGCACCCAGCCTTGCCCGAGCCCGCTGGTGGAGATCAGCGCATGCCGGCACGACGCGGACGCGGTCTGCGGCGCGCCAGACGCGCACGCGGACGTGGACGCAGCTGACGTCATCATCGTCGACAACAAGCCCCGCCCCATCAAGTCCTGCTCGGCAGACTCCTTCTTCAACCGTGGGACCGGACTCTGCCAAGAGTGCATCCGATTCTGCGCTCCACCCCTCGTGATGACGGAGCCGTGCCGTAGGAAATCGGACGCCGTCTGCGGCCGGCCGCGTCAGGCGGCAGGGAAAACCTCATCACGCCGCAGGAAGGACAAACACGAGCGGAAACGAAGGCGAAAAACTCGCAAGAAGCCAAAGAAAAGACCCTCGCCCCAGACGACTTCCAATACGGCAACGTCGGACCAGCTGTGCAGTGAGAACAGAGAGCAGTTTTACGACTCCACACAGGGACGCTGCCTCCAGTGCCGAAGCTGCGACGGCGCATTGGAAGAAATCTCCCCGTGCACGAGTACCAGCGATCGCGTCTGCAGTCCGAAGCACGGACCGGCCAGTACGAAGGCCCCACAGACCGGAAGCAGCGCCACAGAGCTCCAATCCAACGAACTACCAAAGGATGGTCACACTAAGTCGGAGATGAGCAACAGGTCTCGCAACAACGAGTATCCAGACTCGCGAGCGGACTCTGGCAGCGACAAACACCCTGGCAAGACTGACACGCTCCGGGGGAACTCGGCTGACAACCAAGACCATGTCAGCGCGGACCCAATTCACAGTAACATTGCCGAATGAAACACACACAAAAACACATGGAGAACTGTGCACTGTTCTGTTCCATGTTTTGTGGAGATGAGGTCATGTTCCACAATTGATAAGGGGTGACATTTATTGAGTGGATGAAAGGACGAAACGACACTGGACGAAATATAATATTAAGACTTATAAAACAGGAAAAAAGTAGGGGAGAAAAACATCAACAACACTTTCATCCGCACCCTATCTGTAGCATTCCCTTCACAACGTGGCTACGAGAATGTTTCTTAAATGTGTATAGTAATAACAGGGTAACAGTTATTTCTCAGTGAGCTAGAAGATAAGGGAACATACGATATAAAAAAGTAAATAAAGAAACTAACCGAAAGGCCCTCTCATACAAACCAACGACAGGGCACAGACACAAAACACGGACAGAGACTAACGGACAGACGAGTTCGAAAACAATTGACCTATCGCGGTAGAATCACGTTAGAATCGCGTCAACGCAGCTTGTGAAATATTGTCCAATTACATGTTATACAAATGGACGCGGAACATCTAAGACAAACAAAACTTACGTACAAGAATTCCGTAGTGGCCAACTCGCAAACGGCGATAGGTCAACTGAAGACGTGACAAGGATCACACATTGAGTCGAATAACCAGTAATTAAGGACAGTAGATGGAGCAACTGTATATAGAAGTGTATAAAATCATATTTTACTCCTACATGTGTACTTGTTTCTAAATAACTCCAGCATTGAGAGTGCAGCCTTTCGGCAACGTTGTCCAGACTTTGGACATTTAGACGTCAAAGCGGCGAAGCCGTAATAAGGCGAATTGAGGAGACTACACTTAACGGGGAGAGTGACGAATCACGAGCGCGTGGGCCTTGCTCAATTTGCCTCGAGCGACTAACCGCCGCTCGGTGAATACCTGTCCAATTCACGGCTTGTCGTAATGCTACGTTGCTTGTATGACTGGTTAGGCATTAAGTGGTTGTACATACGTGGTTTCAAAAAGTACAGGAATTTCAAATCGGCTCTGAAGCCGAGGTTCTCAATGTTGTCTTTTGCTGAGAGGATTAAAACAAGAAAAGAGCCTCCATTCTTGCCATAACTTAACAATGAGAGCCTCGGTTTGAATGCTACTTTGGGACTCATGTGCGACGTAGTATTCATTGGTGGCGTTTTATGGGTCCTAAAGTGGGCTCTTTCGAGAAAATTGCACAAAAATTTTTACTTTATGCTTCATGCATTTACAGGGCTCCGTAGTCATTTTTAGACATCTGTATAATTATTATCAGTAACTGTCTGTCCCTGTTACAGTGTGATGAGAACATTGGTTAACCTCAGTTTTCAAACATCCCGCATCTGCGGATATTTCATAAGGTATTTTGTTACAGAAAATCCGGCACTGTGGTTGCAAGTAAAATTTTTAGGCTGACCAATTTCCGCAATTATAATTGTTTGTTTGATATTTCCTCAGCGGCATTGTTCATTGAAACTTATAACAAACCACGAACGTCCCCTGTTTTTCCCCATTTTACAAGAACTGGAAACTGAGAGTGACACTAAACCACTCCAAAAGAATCCATTGCTGCAAAGGCGTATCAAATGCAATTTCAGAGTTTATTCAAACGCGGTGTATGGACTTTAACCCATTCTTTTCATTAATTAGTAACTATACAGCAACCCAGCTGGGAACTAGCTACGAGGAAGTAATATACATTAAAAAGGGGGATTTGCACCGATAACCACCTGCACTAAAACTTCGAATGGCAAACTTCCTGCATTTTCTTTCCCTGGACAGTAATTACGACGAATTTTGCCACGTGATCAGTGTACGTCCGAGTGGCGACACCCCCTTTCAATGGAGAAACCATTGTACACGCTATTGTACAAAGCATGCCACGTGGCATATGATCTGAACAATAGCTAGCATAAAGCTTCCGCCATTGAGGGGGGCCATTTGTGATAGGAGTGATAACGTACCCTAATAATGGTTTATACCTGAATCTAGGATGGGAAATGTAATTTACATTCTTGATTCTTTGATTTTTCTGAACAAAATTAGGATCAAAACCTTTGTACTGAAAACTGAATTCCCCTATGAATCTCATTCTAATTTTTTCCTTCATTAACACTTCCTTTATCCTTTTCGTTAGCATTATTGCATTATTAATATGACATGTATTATTAATATGATAAAATAATATGTATTATTAATATGATATTTTGTTATTGAGAAGGTGCCTTTTTTGTACGATAGTTCCGAGTTGTATTATGGACCAAAAAAATATTCGTGACGTTTAAGCACATTTTAAAGGGGACCAAATTGTATTATTTTGAATTAAAGTTTAAAAACTCTCATGTGTGTCCGTATTTGGTCATTATTCCCGTATACTCGAGATGAGTTGTGAATACTTGAAGTCATTTACTTGAACACATTTTTCTTGGACACATTTACACATTATTCTTGAACACATGTACACATTATTCCCGTATCCTCGAGATGAGTTGTGAATACTAAACACATTTACTCTGTATAGTGAATTTTCCTGCCTGCTCTATAATAGGATATTGTAAGTACTTTTGAAATTAATGTATACACTTTATAAGAACGTGCTTACCAAGCTCAGTGGGCTGGGGCATTGAGTTCGTGGTCTGCGAGTAATTTTGCATGGTGTGGGTTCGAGTCCAGCCTGGGGTCATGGTGTGTGTGCCCTTGGCAAGGCACTTTGTCACTCATTGCAGAGATGGTTAGTTGTGGTTGATTGTAGCTGCCTTGCGCCGAAATGGCTGCATCGAGCTGTATACTTCCCGGGGAGCTGAGATTGCATCTGGAGTGTTGAATTGGCTCATTGAGCAGGGGTAATAATAAAGTAAAGCACTTTGATCTTAGGAAAAAAGCGCTACATGTATAACAAATACTCTGGATGCTGTAAAATGGCGGCACTTGTGCCTAGATTTCAATACCATTCACCCTATTTGAAACTGTCCCTGCCTGCTACCACGAAACTCCATATTTGAGGGTTTCTCGTCCAAACCAAGCATTTTAAGCTATTTGTGGCAATATAATTCCTTCTCCAAATGGTAGTTAAAACAATAGGACGACACCATATTGTCACCTTAATGGGGTGTGTCGCCCTCATATGAAAAGGTTAAGCAAAAGGTGTCGCCCTAATAGAGAATTCATATGTTTAAATATAATAATATAAGTATTGGCATTTTCTGGGTTGGGTCGACAGTTTTATTTAGTATTTTACACACATTATGAGGGCGACAGTGTTACTGTCGCCCTATTCTTAAAGCCGTCATATTGACGCGGGCTAGGAATAAGGCTAAGGTTAGGGTTAGGGCCAGTAAGATTTGTGCACAAGTCTATGGAAGTGTCGACCTATTTGGGTTGTTATTCATAGTATTACATTGTGTATTATTACTATTATTATTCAGCAGGATTCTCCGAAACTGAACATCAGTTGGGCGGAGAAATTAGAACAGCTTCCTCATAATTTTATCAACAATAATAAAGTGATTGTTTGTTCCATTTCTAAAAGCGGCAGGAGCATGTTTTCTTCACTGTACAGCGGTGTTTATTTTTCACGTCTGTTCCTTTTTTTTAGTTTTGTTTTCTAAGTATTGCCCATTTGGCAGTGCTGCAGCACTCGAGCCTAGAACACCATAACATTTCATATACACTTAACCAAAAAAGAAAGACCCCTTCATACTTTTTGGTCTAACTCAAGAACTACTGAGCACATCTTGCTCACATTACAACTGATCAGTACAGAAATTCCTTAGCAATTCAGCCATACTCTTTGTTTGACCCAAAACGGTGATAATGTGTTCAAAATTATGCAATTTATGACAAATGGTACCGAAAAAAGTTGCACTTTTGTATACGTGCAAGGTGAGTGTGAACCACAACTTGCACGTATACAAAAGTGCAACTGTTTTGGTATCATTGGTCATAAATTGCATAAAGTCGTACATATTATCACTGTTTTTGGGGCCAAATAAAGAGCATGTCTGGATTACTAAGGAATTTCTGTACTGATTAATCCTTATTTGAGCGAGAGGTGCCCAGTAGTTTTTGAGTTAGACAAAACAGCATTGGAAGGGGCCTTTATATTTTGGTTGAGTAATGGATTTAATTATTCTTACTCAATGCAAGTTAGGCCTCGGACTCGACACAGGTGAGACCGACTACGAACTTTGCCATTATTTTGTTGTCACAGCTCTAAGCTGACAACGATTATAGTCGGTGCATTAAGGTGTGAATTCCACTATGTGTCTGTAATGATTGGGAAACATACAAAATCGATCCAAACGAAACCTCAAATAAAAAACCACCCCGAGTCACCAGGCACTGAGAGCGCGCCCTCTGTCGCCCGTTCAACTGAGGGACATCTATTTATATAGCAGAACGTATGTCCGCGATTCTTTAAATGACGAACCTGCGTGTGTAGTACGAAGAGACCCACTCCGCACAAAAACTAAGGTAAGTGGATGTTGCAAAATAACTTCAGTTAGAATTTATTATATTAAGGCCTGATTATAATTAGTCCTTAATAATTATATCAAGGTTTTACTTTGTTCAAGGTAGTATTTACGTTTTCATGCTAACTATAATGAATAGACAAGGAAATAAAATCTTGTTTCCTTATCTGTGGGCGCGTAGTGGAATTTGTACCGCAATATAGAACTGACTTTGATCGCTGACTTAGCTGTAGCCAAACAGAGAAAAACGAGAAAAAAACCTAAGCCTACACTAAAATTATAACAAGGAACCAGATGTGAATAAAAAAACACCGCTATAAGCCTAGAACAAAACATCCTTTTACGGCTTCCAGAAACGGAACTCCAAAAATAGTTAATGAATCGTATGTGTTACGACAAGGTAATATGTTCCCGATCCAACTGCTGTTCTATTTCGGAGAATCCTGCATGTTTTTACAGCACGAAGTGATTATTTCTTTAAAACCAGAATTAGTGTGGTATGAATAACCATTATGAAATCAACGTTTCGGTCTCAACACCTCGATTCTTCTCATGGCATTTGTAATGGCTGTCGGCCCTGACAATGTTTAGAGGCCACTCAAGGTAACTAAGGGTTACTAGATAAACGAACAAAGACGGGCATACGGGGCGTCTGCCCCCTGTACCCCAAAAGCAAACCTGGACGGCGCGGTAGAGGTACGTGTACGTGCTAGTCTGGGCACGTGCTCACTGTTCACAGACGAAGGCCCCCCGTAATGGCGGATTAAAGCATTGTGCTATAGGTAAGTGTACAAAGCAACTGTTCTATGACAGTTTTCCTGAGCAATACTAGCACCTTGCCTTTGTCGTTGAAGGGGGCCTCCGTGTGATAGAAGTGACATTGTGCCCGCATTGGCTAATCTGAAAGCATCCACACGAAGTACTGGCACACATTGTTTACGTTACATACCTAGTGTGGACATTTTTTTGTTTCGTGTAGTCAAGAAAAAACCTGTGAAAAACCTAATTTTACCCAAACTGTGTAAATTCTATCGACCCAATTTGATTTTTTTACTATGATTCCCTTGAGAGTTTCTGTTTATACATAAACATAATCCAAATGTGTGACACACAAACATAATCCAGAAATGCTTCTAAACCTGTTTTCCAGAGAGGGGGGACCTTGACAAGTCCACACAACGTATCTGAAACCTGGTTTATGTGGACATCTTTAATTTGTTCGGAAGTCCACACAGTGAATGTAATGCTTGTACAACATTATCTTCATCACTGAAGAACGTACAGCTTGATTCGTGACAGGGTGACCAGCACAGATCATGTAATACTATTGGGGTGCAAATTTCTCGTTTTCAGAGCAAGTTACTTCACGGTTGAAACTACCCAGGTCTGATAAGATGGCTTCTAGATTCGTCAAGGCTCTTGTCACGATCTTCGTACTCCAGACTCTGACCCCGCCCTCCTACCCCATACGGCAGTGTGCCTCCAACAGTTTCTTCAACAGATCCACGGGGTTGTGTCAGGAGTGCACCAGGTACTGCCCTGCCGGTACCGTGATGACAAGAGACTGCCAAATGGAAGCTGATGTCGTCTGCAGCCGGCTGCCCTCCGCGTGTGCCTCTGGCTGGTATCTGGACCGCCGTAAAGGCCGATGCCGGGAGTGCACCAGGTTCTGCACCGTGCCGCTGGACGTGGTCACCCCGTGCACGAACGACACGGACATGGTGTGCGGGACGCGCACGAGACCGACTAAGCGGGGCCGACCGGGACCTAAAGCACCGAAGACAACCCCTACCGTCCCCTTTCCCACCCCGCTAGTAACCACCCACCGCCCATCAGAAGAAATCAACCCAGCAACGACATCCAGGCCAGGTCAACGGGTTCCTACCACTTCCATAAAACTCCAGCCGAATGTAACGGAGGAAGCACCTCAAAACGTGGCCACCGAAAGTGCTTCAACCACAGACCATGCGCACAAGACTGTCTTTTCCGAGGATTTAGACGTGTCCACAGACGTTCCGGCGTTACAGAGCGATCGGAGTCTTCCGGAACCGAAACGAATTTCGCCTAGTGGTGGGGGCGGGGTCCTGTCGACGCAACAACAGACCGACGACACCAAGTTTTACCTCTGGATTGCCGTCAGCGTCCTGGTCAGTGTCGTGGTCGTTGTCGTCGCGTCGCTTGCGGTCTACTGCACGGGCTTGAAGTGTCGAGACTGCGCTGGAGAGAAGGCCCAGAAAATGGGCGAGGCTGGAAGTGGTGGGATGCAACGCGCAGTAGACAACACTCAAGGTAAAACAAAACACAAGTCTGTTCGTTTAAATGTCGGCCCCTTCATTCCCAGTAATGACTAATCTTAGAACAGTTTCAATTTTCATTTTTGATTTCATTTTGTATTCATTTTCATGAGAACGTTTTTTCAGTAAATGACCTATAGTCAGTTGGCTTAGGGTATAGTAAAAAATCATCTCCCAATGCAATTTCAGGTACATTCTTTGAAAATATTAAGGATTATTAATGAAACACTATAAAACCCCAATCAACAAAATGCTTTTTTTTCCTGTCCCAAAAGAGTGTTTTTCGGGTATTGTTTTCGATTCGAAATGAAGAATATACATTGCACGCCCATTTTCCCTTACTTTTTTGGGGCGGCGTCTATTTGGAAAAGTTGCAAATTAACCCAAAAGGCGAGTCATTTATCAATACTTTTTGCAGCAGATTAAACTTCGAGTTTAGAATTACATGTTGAACTCATATTTTTTGTTCTCGTGATTTAGCACTTGGGTGAGCTGTCCAAATACGAAAAAGTAAGGTGATATTATCAGAATCGGTTTTTTTTGCGCACCAAGGCCCCCACCCACCTTTTAATGTCATTGCCCCGCCCATGAAATGGACAGAAAAAATGCCATCAAGTGGTTTTGAACTTGTTGAGGTATCCATAAGTGAGTTTCAAAGTTTGTGCCCCAAAGTGCATTATTGCCCTACAAGCCCACTGACTATAATATAATTCAATAAAATCAACCAACATTTTCCTTTTCAATTATATGTAAACGAAAACCATCAATACACTTGACACTTCATACACTTCTTTTGCACGGTTGTCCATCATGTGATTGATTTCACGTGGTTTTTACCAAATGACGTTTATGAACAGTACTGGGTTTCCTGGTCGCTAATTGCAATATATTGTATATAAAAAATATTGAAAGTGATCATCAAAAAACATAGCAGTTCAACTCCAGTTCGTTACACAAGGAAAACCTCGTATATCCGTTCTGCGATCATTCCAGAAATTCACATTATACCGGTTTTCATTAGTATAATGGTTGAAAACAAAGAACTGAAGCCGTAAATTCAGTTCAGGTTACTCAATCACACAAATTGAATGTTGTGTAGGAACAGATACAATTTCAAACTTTGGATTTGCAATGACCATTGTATCATTGTACACAGTATTAGTTTGGACGGAAAAATGACTAAAACTGTTTTTAAAAGCAACGACAATTGTTTTTGCCATGTTGTGAAAGAAATTCTCCGTCATGTAGGACCATTGGGCCTTAAATAGTTTGAAGAGGCTGATGTGAAGCATGACATGTCAAAAACATTAAAAGAACAAATAAGATGTTTTCCTCGAACACAGAACACCTGCCTGTCCACTTTACAAAGCTTTAAAGTCAGATAACATTATAGAAACTGTGCTTAACAATTAAACACGTTCTGAAAAATATCTTGCTATCACTTTGCAAACACATTTCATATTAAACATGTTTAGAGTATTAATGGATAGACTTTAGCAATTAAGCATTGATGTTTAGCTTCCAGATATGTTTCGCAGACTGATAGCAAGATTGTGTATAACTGCTAAACCCAATTTTTGGCGTGCAGTAAAACCTGCCATCTTTGGAAATTTGGGATTCCCAAAATCGCCGTTCGGCCAACCTCCATTCAGTTTGTCAGACATAACAATGCAGACGCGAATAATGCAGACCTAATTACTGCTTTTTGGCCTTGACAATGAGGAATGATTCTCTTTCATGACTTGGCGGAGAGAGGGCAGTCCACCTGCCTCGCTAAACCTCCCCCCAAAAGTATCCCACCTCCCTTTTGTTCGTAGCCAGACCTTTAAATATTTGGGGATTCCCCTTTTCTGCCCGGCCCTTTGTGAGTGGTGTATAGACGCGTGCAGCAGCGTTGCGGGTATTCCTTCATAGAAGTTGAAATGTACGCTAAACAAAGATCAACAAAAACAAAATACATGTACTTTCAGAAGGCCATATGAAGTAATATCAAAGCATCACAGCACCAACTCGGTAACTAACTACAAATAAGTCTAAAGGAAAGCCTTGCTCGAAGTACACAAAGAAGAGTTGCACCTAACAGGCTGTTCAAAGATCTGACTGTTTGGGGGTATTTTAAAGAAAACAATTATTACAGTGCTTTTAAAAAGGACAATTTGAAATTTACTAAGCCTGCGTTGAAAACTTTTAGCGCTCGAAAAGTCTTAATCACAATTTCATGCTGTTTTGGAATACGTTTAGGATTGGGAATTGCTCGGATGCCGAATCTGGGATAGGCCTAAAACGTAGTTTGAAATAACGGACATTTATACGAAACTTGATATCAAGCAAGTACCATTACCACTCAGTCTCCTGACGACGGGCAGAGCATACTGTCTGAAACGTTGAGTCCCTCCGGTTCTTTTGAGAACCACACATACTCACAAACAGGCGCGGTTCTACGGGGGGGGGGGGGGGGGGGGGGGGGGGGGGGCTGTAGCCCCCCCCCCATTTTTTTTGTCTAGCACCCCAAAATAAATTCTGTAAAAAAAAATGTGATGTACATGCGAATGGTCTCCCCCTAAAGAAATAGTCGTGACAAGGGTGCATTTGTAGTGAATATAGTGTGAATGATTTTAGGATTTTATTGGCGCTCCCCATTGAAAATATGGCATGAGCAGCCCCCCCCCCCTTCCCACCTATTGATTTTCGGAGGCCCAAGTGTCCCAAATCGCCGGAAAAAATTTCGCTGCGCGACAACCCCTCCTTCGATTTTTATGTTTTTGGTGTCAAAAGATGCGCAAGGCTCGAGGCTAAGAAGTCATAAAAGCTCGGGTCGCGATTTTTTTTTTAAAGGCTATTGCGGAAAAAGTCGGCCCTTTTAGGGTTAATTTTGTCCAAGAAGAATTTCACACGCATTTATAAAAACAAATAGTCATTTGCCATTCAATTTCAAAGTTTGGTCACCCTCTTTGAACGCCGAGAATACGCGTCATTACAGATCAATTTCATCTTGATCGGAGATCGAATTCGTGTTATTATCAATCAATTTAAAACGTGTGTTAAGTAAATCAGTCTGGCGTGTGCTTGACCTTTTTCCTTGTGTCTCTGAGCACAATTGGAACATTCGCTTACATGATTTTGTCGGACGAAGTAGTATTACTGAACTCAAAGACGAGTTACCTCAAAAGTGTAAAGAAAACCAATATCAGCTAAACAAAATAAATGCAAATAAAAGAACGAAAAAGCAAGAAGGTTATGACAAAACCAACGAATCGGTAACTATTGAATCCCAGTGTAATATGCCTAATAAAATATTGGGCCTAACATATAAGAAGATAAAATCAAAAGAAACAACAATACATTCATGAAGAAAATGCAAGGAATGAAAAATGTGGAGAATTATTCTTATTGTAGCGGCCTGCATGCATTCTAATGAAGATATCACAATGACGTATGTGACGAAATTGAACAAAATTATGTTTAAATTGTGTGGCAATAGACGAATTGGATTTCTGATTAACACGTTTTGGCATATAGACAAGACGAAATCGAATACGCCGGGACGCCAAAACGTGAGCTCATTGTTTGAATTTGTTTGAACTAAATTTGAAACAGTTGTCTGACAAAAGACGAAATTAAAACATTAGAAGTGCACTAAATCCATGTTGCTCGACGAATTTGAATATTAAAACTAATGAGTTAAAAAAAAGTCATGAAAAGGGTAAATTGGTGATAGGTGCATACAGTTTACAAGCTATTATCAGATGGAGTAATTCGCGTCATGACCCTTTTTTCGAGCCTTTATTAGCACCACCCACAAACCCGGAACTTATAAAACCAACGCGAGCTTGTATACCGAAATCGAAACACAGAGCATTTCGATCCACCTGTGGCTTTTAAATGCCACTGAAATCAACTTAATATTTTTTTATGATCTTTTCAGACAAGTTCTAATCAAACAAACACCTTGGAATTGACCACACGCCGTCGCGTGTGTTACAAAGTTCAAGTGTATATACTCGGCGTGCACGGCGGCAGACAAACTCACGTGTATGCATACTAATCGAGTTCAACAGGCCAATTATCAAAGGCGATAGACTGGTTTATGTAATTGAAAAACACAACGAAAAGACACTCTTGAAATCAGCATTTAATTGGCTTCCAGTTGTGTGCAATCGCGCGGCGGTGAATAAAACATTCATTTTCTTCAAATATATAGATCGTTCAAGTGCAGTGAACAATAAAATTTCAAAATGGCGAGATTTTGCGAGAGTACCAAACTTGTAGGCTTGTAGTTTAGGAACTGCAATGCGTTCGTTGTCCATTCTTGATAAAACATTTTAGGAAGCTATCGCTGAGCTTGGATGGCAAATTGTAATAAAATGATTTTTGAAGAGATCATTACTGAAAACATATATTGTGGTCGAATATAAGCTTAAAAGAACTGATAAAGAAAATGAATAGCACTGTTTATAAAAAAAAAATAAACAAAAGGTGATAATCACCTTTAATATGATTGACGAATTTACTCTTGTTTTCGAATGTGCCAATATTATAAAGCAAGCTTTCTATAAGGGTTATTTGCTTAAGTTTTGGAAGTTGAGAAGTTTTGAAACTCTCCAAAATCTACTCTTGAAAAAAAAATTGTTTTGCGGGGACGTGAAGGGACGCCCCCCAGAGCAGCTGCCAGTTAAAACGGAAAACTTGTTCTGTTACACAAAAGGCTGATCATGGGTGTGAGAGTCAGTCAATTCAACCAACAAAGAAGCACAACGGGAACTTTCACAAATCCAAATCTGATGACGACAAAGAGATTGATGCTATAGAAAAACAAAGAATTACATCCAAAATAGATAATGGAGCCAGACTAAAATAAAAAAAATAGTACAGAAACTGAAAGAAAGAAACGAAGTTTATAAAGAACCCAAGGTTTTGTATCTTCTCATTGTGCATACCGTCTTTTTTTTATTTGCACGATGTCAGGTGATTTAAACCACGCGATGCTTGTACCCGGAAGACAAGCGGGAAAAATATCAATTTCTGACTACTCGCAGCAGGTGTCCAAACAATACGCGTGCGAATTACGATTGCAATTCAGTGATAAAAACATATCAAGCTTTGAAACCATTCGCGTGGCTTTCTTTTGAATTTAATCCTCAGGGTTATCTCTGAAGGTCTGTGGAATAGTGTGGTCCCTGGATTTAGCTCCTGTTTGGGGTCAGTTTCGAGTCCTTTTCAAAAACTATTATAAGTCGTTTCAAAAGGAACGGTTTTGGTTTCAAGTCCAAGCCCACTTTGGCCGTATCAGTTAATATGGGATTGGGAGGACATACCGAGGGTTTATCGAGCAGTTAAAACAAATACGAACGGCAGGTATATACTTTAAAATGAGATTCAACATGATATAAGAGTTCAGAAATAAATGGGCGAAGTTGAGTTGGAGAGACAATGCCTTGGAAATAAATCCAACCCTGGTTTTTGCCCATCACCAACGTATTTTTTAAAACGATGTACACTCAGTGTGTTGTCTGTTGAATACAGAGGAAAAATCACAAACTATAAAAAAAAACTACTCGTGAATTCAGACCCACGACCTCCTGCTTACTAGTGTAGACGTCTTACCATTTGCCCATCAAGCTTATGCCGGGAACGTTTGGCTGGTTCGTCTTTGCTAGCAGCGGGTACCGCAACCTATTACCAGGTTATATAGTTTTAATATTGACTGTGTGTAATATTTGGTCAGTGGATGTCAAATTTCTGTGTTTTTTAACTTGGACAATTAATAAGAGAATGAATGTGTGCTCCGGAGGTTTTTATCACTCTGTTTAAGACCACTTAGAGTCTGGGTGCTGATAAAAAAAATCATATAATTCGTTCAAAACATCCCGATTTTGTTTAACAAATTCACTTTATGCTTTTTGAAACATCCCTCTTGCAAAATAATGGAGTGTTCAGCTGGCGAGTAAGATGTAAACAACCCTTTTATGGAGATTGACGCGCGCGTATCATGTTCTGCGCGATGTCGCGCAGAACGCATCTGGCGCGTTGCGTTTTGAATTTAGAACTAAAAAATTCTGACTCCCTGGTAGGGTTGCGCATGCCTACGTGAGGATTGTGAACGTTCAACCAATGAAACGATAAGAGGCACTGGATTTTTAGGAGTCCACATTTTATTGTGACACTGGAAAAGTGTTTAAGACCAGCTAACCATGTCTTTATCATCCGTTTAAGACCGGCCACGTGACGGGCTCTCGACCAATAGGAATGCGTAAACTGTCTTAGGTATTTATGAATATTAAATAATAGAATAATGAATAATAACCAGTCATGGCATGAATTTGCTTGGGATTGATGTCGGGTTTACCCTTATTCACTGATGCATTTTTTTTTAACTTCAATTTAAGCATGGGCATCGCCAGGGGCTACATTATTTCCCAGCTTGTGCTGTCTCTAGCATTTTCTCAATTTATCAATTTTTCGAGGGTGAGCGGGGGACATTAATTTTTACTCCCATTGACACCCCTGTAGACGCCCATGTTGTTATGTGCATGAAATTATCAGCAATATGACTTTGCCTCTCGTGTTTTCCTTTTTTTTCTCTCCTTTTGCTTGTTGTTTGAGTGTTTGTTTTTGTCGGGGGGGGGGGGGGAGGGGGGTAAGCGCCCCCTTGAGCATCCCCTCGCGTCACCCATGAATATAAGGGAACAGTGAAGTTGGGTTGGATTTGAGTTGGGTGAAAATATGTGAGAAAATTTCGACACCAGATGAGGTAACATGAATGAAACACACCTTTCTTCCTCCAATATACATTGACACAGAGGCTGATGTGTGTTCTGCTGGTTGACTTACTTGTATTAGTTTAATTCTGAAGAATACCCGAATGGATAATGAAATAATAGTCATTCCTCTTTAATTTTTAAATCAATAGACGAAGGAGGCTTGCCAATTGATCTCCAACTCCCTGGCCCTACTTCGCTTCAACCACCGCCTCAATTCCGCGGCAGCATCGGTGGTCCGAATCCAACAGCATCTCTTGCAATCGAAGACGAATGCGCAGAGGTAGAATCTTGCGCATGCGCAACCTCCATCCCACCCTCCATCGGGCACGCGAGATGGAGCTACGAAGAGGGTAGCTACCACGGGCGGAGTTCGAGTCTGAGCAACATGTACCCGCCGGCGTCTCGTCCCCTAGTGGCGCCCTCTAGGGTGATGCTGCGCTCGGATGGAACCACGGAGACGCAGTTGACCCACTGCGCGTGTGTGGGGGATGTCTACAGCGGACACCACTGTTGCCATGGGAGACACGGCCCTGTGGGAATCGCCTTCCATCCTCTGCCGTCAAACTGTTCCATGTCGACTTTTTCAGTGGTGTCTGGGGGCAGTGAATACACGGTTTGAAACCGAACACTATAGACATTTGTACAAAGAAAAATGTTATATAGATCTACAGATTCTGTGCACACGTTTCCCAGGAACAGTGCGTCCACCCACTCGTAATGGACCGATCCAGTAAGCCCCGCCCGCTGCGGAAGTGAGCAAATTAACAAGTGGGGAATTCGAATTGAATAGTCTTACGGTTTAATCTGGCGGTGGACCTGGATACCAGGAGCAGATAAGTGACGTCACATGAGCAGTGATTAGGACATGTGTACGCAGAATGTACGTATTACTGACCCGGCGGCTGTCGGATGTCGTACTCAACTCAATTTATTTCTACTATAGATCCGTATTGTAGATGTATGTAAATTATTTGGGCTCTAAAGGTTTGTTGCTAACAAGCCCGCGGGAACGGGGGGGGGGGGGGGGGGGGGGGTGGGTACTGCAGCATTGTACTCAGCATTGTCAGAGTACTCAGACATCTCCTCTGAATGCTCGTCTATTGATGTGAAATCCTTTGATAAGGTAATAAACCGTAAACATGCAGGCCTGTATTCTTCGCAGTGCTGCGCATCGTTGAGTACGACATCTAACAGCCGCCGGGTCAGTAATACGTACGTTCTGCGTATACGGTCCATTTGACTGACCCGACGGTTGTTGCATTTCCTTATCACTGCTTATGTGACGTCACTTATCTGCGCCTGGTATCCAAGTCCACCGCCAGGTAACCATAAGACTAGCCAACTCAAGTACCGCAATGTGTCACCTTTCCAAAAATATCCACTTAAACTTGGTAATTTCAAAAAAATAATGACCCCTGGCTCTTGCTCTATCTCCAATGCCACACCGGCACTTTCCTGCCGCGCGCACCATACACGCGTGCACGCATGTCGGACTTAAGTGCACGCACGTCGGACATGAATCACGGCTGTGATTGGTCAGAATACCATGGGGCGGTGCTAACTGGATCGGCCATTATGTGGTTCTTTGCGGACGTTTCAGAATTTGCGCACATAAGGGCAGACATAATTATTGCTAGGCCTGACCTCGTTTCCATGGTGTCGAGCGGTACCAGTACGCTCCCACCACACTACCTGCTCTCACACCCTGGTATTGGATAATTTTGTATGTTCAAAAATCTTGACCTCGTATGCAAATTACGAATCGATCCGGTGCTTGGCTGTGCTTTAAACCAGCGTTTGTTTTTGTATGCGATGTCTGTGGTTAAAAAACCCAGAATATTCATCGTGGCGTGTCAAGTTCCAAAAACACATTTGTTTCCAAAGCCGAAATGTTACCATTTATCCAACCAATATTGTACAATTCACATTACATATTATTAATACAAGTAAAATGGAAAAGGGACGGTTGTTTGGGAGGTGGGGTTGACATAATATTTCACATCACAACGAACGTGTATACTATTTACACGAAATAGGTCTGAATCCAATAACTTGCTGTTTCTGTATCCAATCAGGATTCAGGAAGCATCCCATCCAGGGGTTACTTGGTAACGAGGTTGAAAATATAGTAACCCTGATACAACGATGTATTACGTCCCTCCCGGTTCGCAAGTGTGACGTCATTTCAACTTAAACTACGCTTAGTGCACACAAGGGCGGGTCCAGAACACAATTGACCTATCGCGACAGAATCATTTTCACATCATAGTCCTCACCGTGAACGCCATGCATGTACATAATGCAGTTAGCTGGCCCTATTTTTATACTACCGTACAGTGTTTGTACCAGATTTCGATGCCTTTACTTTTATAACAGCTTTTTCTAGCAATGATCTATACCTTTCAGTTTGTTTATAATGTACTGTACTAAATGTACTTAATCTGGATTTAATCTAGCTGTGTTCATATTCGTTATCGTTTTTTAATCCGTTTAATGCCACCTGCTTAATATATTGTTTACATGAGGAGTCAAAGTACAATACACGAGAATAATTATATTCTCCGGTCGTGGCTATGAGGGCGTTATATGAATTATATACTTAAAGTTGATTAACTTGTAAAAGTCGAAAGGCGTTCTTTGCAGAAATGTTTTCCAAATTCCATTTTGAATCATTCGTTTGCGCAGCTGATTCTTTTCTTTTTGATAATCTATAAAGTATACGATACACAGAGTTTATTTTAGAATACAGCCAATGCTGCGCGAATACCTATGATGAAAAAAAGTAAATAATCATAAGTGATAAGTAATTTAGTTTTACGTATGCGAGACGGATGATAATTACTTTGGCCGATTTGTTCTGAAACACTTGTCGAACCGGTGCTCTTGTATAGCTTTATGATCGGTGATAGACAAACACTGAAGGGAGAACAAAAGATCCTTTCAGTCCTCGAAGGTTGGGTCTTTTGTTAAAAACGGTCCTTGATCGTACGGTTACGTGCTTAGTCAATGGGAGAGTGTTATATTACAGGGACAAAGGGAAACACAAAGCATTGTCCTCGAGCGTATAGAAATTGACGACTGTGTGTGCGCTGGTACTTAAAAACAAAAGTAATGTGGCCGCCTAATGCAATGCCTCCGCAAGTAATATATTAGAACAATGATTTCAAATGAAAATGGTTCGTCAGTAATAAAGTGTGCTAATTAATTTGTTATCTTGTTATTCAAAGTCTGCTTGTCATACAAGCGTTTTAACAATAATGTAACTGACCTTGCCAGAACCTAAAGTTCGTTTGGGTTCTTTGTATAATGTAGATCCCTTAAAGTTTATTTATTGGAAGAGAATCTATTGTCATTAAAACACCATCTGCTGTTCGTACACTCTAATCATTCTTTCATTGTTTCCCTCAACTTGCACTGGCGCGCGACATTAGCATACAGGGGAAATAAACTTAAAGGGCTTTACGACCTGAAATCCCCTGAAATTGTATGTTTTGGATTGCTTACCTGTCCTGTTTTAAAGGTCTGGTTGAAAGGAAACTAACTTAATGTGTTACTGTTCCCGAGAAAAGACAAACAAAACCCCCACCCGATTGTTTACATTGCACGCGGCAGACATGTTAGGGGCCATTCAGAATTTTCAATGTTTTAAAATTTCGATCTTTTTTCCAAATTGTGGGTGGGTGGGTCAAGCTAAATAATAGAAAATCGAAATTCACTTTCCATGGAAAAAAGATACAAAAAACAAAGAAAGATAGATCTTTTGACTTGCCTGAACTACGCGCAAACGTTCCGATATCGCGGTGTGTGTTTCTTTTCCAACTTCGTCCCCTGTATGTACTGTCAGTGGCGTAGCCAGGAATTTTTCAGGGGGGGGGGGCGCTGGGGGGCTGGAACATTTCATGGGGAGGGGGGCATCATGTAGATCAATGATAATTTTTTTAAAAACTCAAAATCTCAGTGGGGGAGGCGACTGGGGGGGGGGGGGGCGACAAGGTTTCATGGGGGGGGTCGCCCCCCCCTGGAAACAACAGTACCAAAGTACAGAAAGTTGTACGCAAGAACTCCCCAGCAAGTATCGCTGACGCCATTATGATTCCAAAATTTCTCACTGTGTCACACATTGAAATAACTAAACAGCGTCGTTGTATTGTGAACACATAAAAGCATTCAAGTCGCGTTCTTGCACACTTTCTGCAAGTCGAAATAGATATCCTTGAACCACTGCCCCTGCTTTGCATAACAAGTGCACATGAATGAGCGATTCGACTTTTATTCAAATAAATTTCTATGTACAGTCACCAGACTCTATTCAGTAAAGTCCCCGTCAAAACGGAAGTAAACAATCCACGTGCATAACGCACTACACCATCGTACAGTTTGGCAGGGACACCAACAAGTAACACAACAACTAATTTTTTTTTTTAAATTGATAAATATTCTGATTGAATGTCGTTAAAAGATACTTGTTGGTGAGGTATCACATATTTTATCACATAAAAGAGGAAGACCGACAACTTCACGCCGTCACTGAACTAGACACACATGTACATGGTGTTCAAGTACATATACATGTACATGTACATGCAAGTGCATGCACATGTACATGTTCAGTTTTTTATTAATCGAAATTAGGGGTGGGTGCGTGGGTCAAAATAATTTGGAAAAAAAATTCGAAATTTTAAATATACTGAAAATACTGAATGGCCCCTTATAGCATACGTTCCAACCTTGGCCATTCAATGTACGATCGTCGTTGAGTGTGTGACACATAATACACACAACACCAATGCACAAATATTGTTTCTCGCAAGTCCGCAAAATACAATGCACTGGTGGACAATTTTTGTTCTGGTTCCCAGACCAAAAGATTCTGACTATGGGGGTTTTCGAAACCTTTGCTTCGGCTTCGGCTCCTAGACCGCTTGGCCTCCTACTTCTGAATCACTGAGAGGCAAACTAAACGAAACTATTCCAATTTTTGTGTTCATATCATATCAACCGATTGAATGTTCCTGAAGCATAACAGGCACCAAAATGTAGCTGGAGTCCCCGAAGTCATTAAGTCAAAGACGAAGCCAAAGCCAGTCGTTTCGAAAACGCTCACATATTCCTGATGAATAGACGTGAGCGTAGAGAATAATTGTCAGGTCTGGAAACCAGACTAGTACATTTTTGTATAACCCGGCAAGGAATACAAAGCGGATCTGCCGCATGATGAGCCGTACGTTGGTGATAGCGCCCTCTCGCTTGTGGTGTTTAGAGAGTCGGTGGCACATCACACAGTGACATGCGGGCCGACACCAGAAAACCGATGAAAGTGCATGTATACATACATACATCCATAAGGGGGGAGGGGGTAAAACTTGCACCCCACACCACCCCCCCCCCCCATTCGCTCTGGCTAATTTGTTTTTAATATAAATACATTAAAAATTCGATGTGGAACCACCCCCCCCCCCCCGACAACCACATTTTTAAACTGGTAATAAAATTGGCCTGTGCATGCACAAAATTCGGACAGAGCCAGCTGTGTTACAGCGTACGTGTTATAAATGATCGTCTGATTCACAGTAGCGTTTCCAGCTTTTTGATTGCCCCCCCCCCCGCCCCCCCCTCCCCCTCTGGATACGCCATTGGTCTGATTTACAGCGCCCCCATTGAAAGTATAGTTCAAGCCCCCCCCCCCCCCCGGCCGCACACACACCTATTGATTTTACGGAGGCCAAGTGTCCGGAGATAAAAACCTGTCTACATTTCAGCATTGGTTTGCCGATGACCCCCCCCCCCCCCCTGCACAAATTCCTGGATCCGCCCGCACAAATTCCTGGATCATCCGCCCCTGGTACCTGCA